TGGCGATCTTTGGTTGCAGAGGTGAAGCGTTAACCGAAGTAGTTGTGGCGGACAGAACGCAGCGCATGCAGCGTAAGTAATGACGGCGACGTGGGACGAGAGCGTCTACCTTGAAGGCACAGGTGGGTACTTGAGAGGGGTACGACGGGATAGAGTGCGACAATCAACCAAGGACGGATGGAACTGGGCAAGCTAGCTGGCCTAGAGGGCAATATGTGTTAGAAGTGTTCGGATGCGGTGGTTAGGAACGAGATGGCATGGAAGACAAGATACCTACTACTACGCTGTGTAGCAGGCAGTTTGGGTTCTCAATTTGCAACCTGGGAGACCATAAATTCCATGTGCGTGGAGCACTGAAAGCCCAAGTTACCGACCTGGTGGGCTGAAGTGTGGTGTCGAATATTGCTTTCGCTTCTCTGGGCCAGCGGTTCCGTATTCCATTCAGCTTGATTGGGGGACGCAACGGAAGAGCCCCAAGATGGTTCAGGACGGTTCTTTGGGGCCTTTGGCACAGTGTCAGACTCATACAGGGTCCAACCAGGGGGCGTTGGAGGTCGGATGTCGTGGGATATCGCATGCAGTGCTCCGTATCCGTAGCTACCTTGAGTTAGATAGGTATCTAAAGGATAGACAGCGCTTACGAATAGCCGACGTGCATTTGGACACTGGAGTTCTGGACCAGACCTTTCGGTCCCTTCTGAGAAATTTCATCTGCGTGTTGGTGCTTGCTTGCCTGCCTGAATGCTCTGCAGTTTGACAGTGACACCCGCACGGCGACCGCACGGGGGAGGAAGAGAAGAAGGAGGAGGACGTCTCATTGCTTGCTCATTCTCGTGCGTTCCCAGCAGTCGGGCTGAGTGCGTATGTGCGTACCTGGGCCATGCCACCCGTCTGCCTGGTTGCTGAGTTGAGGGTTGGGGAATGGAGGTTGAGGGTTGGGACATATAAGGTACCTTAGATAGGTAGGTATCTTCACTCCCGTCTACTGCATCTGTTGTACAAGGTGGGAATGGAAGCCACGACCCGATTGCGAGACTTTGGGTTCGTCACCTTGGGAACCTCCCGGTGATCGACCTTAGTCACCGAGGTAGGTGGCTTGACTGTGCACCTGCCCGAGGTGCGTCTATATTGGAAAATTGCTATGCTGTCGTGGCTGTTGAAGTCGGGTGTCGAGAGTCGAGGAACGCGTCTCAGAAGGGCAGGCACGCCTCGCAGCTCGCAGGCGGGTTCGAAATGGAAGCAGCCACCAAGGCGTCATCCAGCAGATGGTTGCGCCAGTCAGAGACGGCGGCGGGCGGGAAGGTGGGTGCCGGTGTGCCACGGCGCAGACGCCCAGGTGCTTCTTTCCACCCCTCGTGCCATTCCCTTCTTGCCTACCTTGCCCGGGTGCTTCTTACCTGACTTTTGGGGGAAGGGTGGGAGCCTGAGGTGGTACATGCGACTTGAACAGGTACCGCGATACTAGGTCCCTCGACCTGATAGGCGCCTTGCCTTAAATGGCTATCCTGCCTGAGGCACAGGAAAGAGCCAGAGGTGGTCGATGGGATTGGTCAAAGTACCGGGGTACGGATGCACTAGGTACCTTCCTTCCACCTTCCACCTTCCACGGACGCCGACCCCCCTCCCCCCTTGCCTTTGCCTTTGACGTGCTTCTCCCCTGCAAACCCTGTTCCCAGTGGTTCCAGTCGCCATCCCCGGTGCGCCCCTCGACTGCATGGCAAAGTGGCTCCGAAGAAGGCTTCGTGGGCTTCCACACTTTCGATCGATGTTCGAGAAGGCGGCCAGAAGACTGGACGCAGGACCCTGTCCCTCTCCCCCGCCGCTGACCCCTTGCCTGCTCGTCGCTGCCCTGCTGGCCCCCTCACACACACGAGATAAGCACCACCAGCCCGAAAACTGCAGCGGCCGATCAGTGATGCATTGCCTCGCACTACAATCTTACTAACTACGTCGACCTTGTTACGGCCAATTCATTCGCTCATCCATTTTATATTATCCCTCCATCAAGAAATCGGATGAGTAGATCACCACCAGTCGATCCTCTAATGTTAAAAAGCTGACACGCTCACAGCCTTCTGGAGCGAACACAGGGCGAGAGTTTGACGACCATCGGCACCTATCCACAGGAATGGATGCGCAGGTTGGTCAGCCATTGTGGGACAAGGTACCCTTCTGCAGGTATCTTCTCCCCCCCTCCGTCATCGTCCCATGCCTGCCAGGGGCTTGGGCTTGTCTGAATCCAGATCTGACATTCTGATTCCGACGGGCACTGACATTCTGAGTCCGACAAAGTATTCCTTCCGCCTTGCCTCGCACCCCAGGCCCTGACCTGAGCCTACTCGACGCTGCTACCGCCTACGGACACTACTAGCACTTGATTTCCGGTCGGCCAGCTGCCCACCAGGCTATTCAGCACGAGCGCCAGCCGTCCGTCACCTTTGCTCTGTGCGTCTCAGTACAGGATGCCTATCAGATAACTCGGTCGAATAGGTCTCCAATTGTCCGTTTTGTCCTTGGCCCGCATTCATCGTGTTTTCACTCGCGCTCAGTGGTTTCGATCTGGGTTTTTTTTTGTCGACTTTTGGTCCAAGTCGAACTGCGTTGATATTCAGTACCTGCGCAAGACAATCCCATGCTCGGCACAGCGATACATGCTTTGCAGAACACAGTCAACACGGACAAGGGTCGGATCTAGAGCTGCCCGTCTTGGCATGCCGTTGTTTGTGACGAATCTTGGGCGAGAGGGAATGCTTCTGTTGCATCTGCGCCGGATTCCTAAGCGAGAAGAAAAGGGCAGAGACAGAACCGTCACCAGAGAGACTTGCTCCTCAAAAGCGCCCCTTTCTTGACTCCAAGTTAAGGTACCTGTGGTCTGAAGCAGGTCGCTTGGAAGCCCAGCCGTGCCCTGGCTCATCTGGCGTTGCAGTCACATTCAACACTCCTGTCTCGAGGCCGCAGTGAACCTAGGCTCTTTCCTTCTTTTCTCACTCACGAGACTAGGATCGGAATTGAAAACCAGCACGGAATTGTGGAATGTTTGGTCCGAGCTGAGCTATTTGGGCTGGAGATGTCTCTCTGTCTTCACCTCTCCTACTCCGGCGTTACTGGGTCAATCACCTACTGGAGTTTCGACTGGACATATTCCCTTCTCTTTCCATTCTTTCTGTCCAGATTCTGGGAGAAAGAACAACAAGCAGGTGGCTGGTTGTCATATGGGTTCCCGGCATGCTTTCTGGCGCTTTTGTCTGCTTCCATCCATTCCTCCCAAGCTCGCGGCGCCGAGCAATCCTTGGCTTTGGCAGACAGGCGCAACTTACGCTAGAGTAGACGAGGCCACGCCAGACCTGTTTCGAAGTGACTTCGTCCTCTGAGTGTAAGTAAGGTAGTAAGGTACAGTGTAAGATGTCCGTACCTTGTGGGAAGAAAAGAACCGACGCCTAAATTGCCATGGCTTCCATTCCTTCCGTCATCATAGAAGGCTACGGGTATACGGTGCACTCCACACACAATCCATACCAACTTGCACCATACACACCGGATTCACACCTTTCACACACCTCCGAGTCCCAGTTACCTGTCATTGGATTGCTTACCACCACCGCCACCATCTACTCTTTCTGCTCCTCTGTCAATCTGAACCGCATTCGCAATTTCCTCACCTGTTTCTCGCCTCGTTTCTTTTGGCTAGTCCGTTTGCTTCTCCAGAAAAGTTTCACAGACATCGGACCGGAGCGCTGCATTTCCTTGACTTGATATCTCATGTTCCTTGTTACGCCTGCGTGGCCTAGTAAATAGACTGCCGGCAAAGAGAAGATGACGAAAAAGGAGCTCCCATTCTCAAGAAACTGGACTAGAGAAATAAAAAAGGCGCCAACACCATAAACACTCTTAGTGCCGAGGACTCAGTCGCCTCCCCCACCTCACTTACTCATTCGATCGAACTTTACGTCGCCACTTCAGGGCACAGGAAGAAAAGACTCTGTGGTGAGTGGATGTTACCATGCTAGCCCGGAGTCAAGTTACACTCCTCTAGCTTTTCCACAGTTTGGAGAGCTTCGAGTTCTGTTTCTTGTTCTGTCCCGCCTTGCTTTGCTGGGCAAAGTATGTAATACTTGCAATCCCGTTCTGTCACCAGAACCTGTGTACCTAGGGCATATTAGGTAGGTAGGGTGACGGGAGAGCATGCACGGCCGATTGGGCGAAAGCGAGAACCTACACTCTCTAGTTGGTACAATGACCTCCCAACTCATGGTAAACTTGGGCCTCGTGAGTTGGTCTCTCAGGTGCCCTGCTGTTGCTGAGAGATGGCAGTTATTACAATGGTGACTGTGAGGTATGCACTGAGGCGAGGTGGAAGAGGAAAGGCACAGGCAAAGACAGGTAGGTGCCTTGTACTCGATAAGGTACCTTACTCTGCCTGGCCTTCTCGATCTTGGCACACTTTTTTTTTCTCTTTCGCTCGCTCGCTCGCCTGCCTTCCTTTTCCCGTCTTTTTTTCCCCTTTCGCAAGCAGCAGTTTTAAGGGCCAACTTGGGGATACGCTCTCATCCACTGGAAGTACGGAGTACCTACTGCGTGGTGCGTACGCCTATGGTGTCCTTTTCTGCCCACCTACCCACCCAACCCACACACCCTCCACACCTCACATGCACACCACACATTCCCAGTGCCTGCTGCTGCTGCTGCTGCTGCTTGCTGCTGCGAGCTTGTGCTGGTGCTGCTGGTGCTAGGTACCTGCCTACCTTGCCCGGGGCTGCTTGCTGCAACCTGCACCGCACCCGCACCCGCACCCGCAACTGCAACTGCAACCACCTCTCAGCGCAGAGCCTGGGGCTGTCTCTCTCGTCTCTCCCGTTGTCTCTCCTCCCGTCCCCGTCTGGGCTGTCTGTCTCTCACTCACTCGAGGCCCTCTTTCGCACCCGGTACATCCACCCACCCCCCCTTGCGTTGCTTAACAATTTCGTACTCGACCCGGTCCATTGTACTTTCGTACTCTCCTTCCAGTCCCAGTCCCAGTCCCAGTCCCAGTCCCAGTCCTCCAAGGACCCAAACTCCAATCCTCCCCGTCCCAGCTGGCCGCCCAGTCGCCCTCTTTCCTTTCTTCCCACTTCACGCCCGTTCGTCCCAGCCCTTGTTGTACGTAGCCTACCCTTCATGATATCACGTACACTTGTCGTCGCTTCCTTCTTGTGCTCCGCTTCTCTGCCGCCCAATTCTGCAATTCTTTCCTCCTCTCATCCTCCTCCTATGCCAGACTGACCAAAGGAAAAAAAGACTTCGCTCGCTATCAACAGCGCCAGCATACCGAAGCCTCCACCCTTCGTCTCGAATACATGCGAACTCTCCGCGCGACGGTACCCGCAACTGCGAAACGACAAATCCCCCCTCTCCCGATCGCCCCTACTCACACAAAAACCCAAAAGGATCCGTACACGCCTCGACTTTAGGAACAAACATCACGTCCATGATCTCGGCCAATCCGATTTCGTACGACTACAATCGATGCCAATCCTGGTGACCGTCGGAACCACCGCGCTACCGCTGCTTCGTCGCCCGCACTTGGTGAAGTACCATTCATGAGACTCCTGGTCGATACCCCGACCACATCTTGCCTTCCAATCCCGACGACTTTATCACGAAGCCTGCTTCATTGAATCATTCGTCGCGCATTGCCCATCCACCTGGACACTGAAGACGTTGCGCCGCCGTGCTGCTTCTCGACAGGACTGGGTCGCCGTCCTCGACTTGTCCCGCTGCGAAAGCTCAAGAATTGCAAGTTTGATCAATCGCATCGTCACGCTCGTAGATCTTCTTTGCCCTTGTGGCCAGAGCGCTCCGGTCGCGAGACTGGTTGCTCCCCAAAGCCATGATGGACAATGCCACTTGCCATGTCGTCTACGTGAACCGCCAGGTTCGCCAGGACAGGCTTATCCGACCTAATACGCAAAATGATCAGCCACTAGACGTTGCCGACTCCGTCGTGCAGGAGGATGACGATATTCAGAAAGATGCAGAACTGCTACTGGACACTTTTGGAGAAGGTAGGCTCGGACTGAATATCATACACTCGTGGCATCGTGTACTAATGATATGTTCAGTTTATCTTTGTTCCACAGGCTCGGCCTGCATATCTACCCTCTTCCAGCTTTCGGACGAGTCCATGATGGACCTTACGCCAACGCTGGTTCTAATTGATGTGCCCCACGACGAACGGCTACCCAGAATCCGGTCTCGGTCTAGATCACCATCGCCGCACTCGCGCCCGACTACTGCTGACATCAACATTCACACTCCTGAGGAGGATGTCTACGGCCTCAAATTACTGCAGAGGATCATGACCGAGTCGCATCTGCGTAGCCTATCAAAGCTGATCGTGCCGATACCCATCGTGAGCTTTTCGCCTGCCGAGGATGGTAGCGCAACGATTCCGGCTAGCGACGATGCGAAACCCAAGCCTTCGGCGTCAGTGGACCGACGCCTGATCATCCGGTGCCTAGATCTAGGAGCCGTGGATGTCATCATCAGCCCTTTACACCTCAAATGCATCACGAGTCTCGAGATCCATGCTTATCGGGCGCATAAGGATGCGGCCCGTGAACAGCAAGAAATGCTCGAAGTACGGCGCGGCAGAAAACGGTCATGGGTTGGAGTGAACGAGGAGAAACCATTTTCCTACCTCAGGGAAGCCATGGTATCCGGTCTCATGAGGGGCATCTGTCGGTCAGGCGCGGATTCTGACGACGATCGGATCTCCAACGTTAGCATTGCCGTTTCTACCGATCGCCAAGCTGCTGTCGCTGCCGCCGTTGGTCAGTGGCACTTTTGTGCGCATAGTTTCACAGATGACGAGCTCCTTGTTGCGGCCATGGTGATGTTCAAGCATGCCTTGACAATGCCCGAGTTGGATCGCTGGCGGATACCGACAGGTGAGTACATTGCGCCCACATAAGCCATGCGAGGACGGCTGCTGACGATTTGACTAGACCAACTCATAAGCTTCCTGGTCGCTTGCCGGGCTGCATACAACAACTTTGTCCCTTATCATAACTTCCGCCATGTCGTTGATGTTCTACAGGCTACTTTTCACTTCCTGGTTCGTGTTGGTATTCTTGCGCCATATCCCGCCGATCCCTTGGCGGATCAAGATCCACCGCAGAGCTCCCCAATGGCAAAGCTGCTCCATCCGTTTGACGGCTTGACGCTCTTGATTACGGCAATTGGACATGATGTCGGCCACCCAGGTGTCAACAACGGATTTTTGGTCACTCTCAATGCCCCTCTGGCACAGTTGTACAATGATCGATCAGTGCTCGAGTCGTTCCATTGCGCCGCCTACTCACAGATCCTTCGGCGGTATTGGCCAAGCGCTTTCGAAGATACCAAGATGCGGCACCTTATGATCAGCTCCATCCTTGCCACGGACATGGGCCTGCATTTTGATTACATGAAAAGGCTCGGAGATACCCAGGACAAACTGGACGTTGACAACACAACTGATGGTTGGAATGGCCGTATGCAAGAGGAGCAAAAGGCTCTCGTATGCTCACTTCTCATCAAGTGTGCAGACATCAGCAACGTGGTCAGTAGTTCACAATCTCTCGTGTTCAAGTTCGACTACTAACCCAACGGCTTACAGGCAAGGAAGCACGAAACCGCGCTGAAGTGGATGTACATTCTTTCGGACGAGTTCTCTCGGCAAGCTTCCATGGAGAGCGAGTTAGAAATCACGTCGTCTCTCTTGTCGCCTCCGAAGAAGGACTTGATCTCACTGTCTAAGGCCCAGCTAAGCTTCATGAACCTATTCGCCATCCCTCTTTTCCAGGGAGTGGCGGACATATTGCCAGCAATGAAATACACTGTTGACGAGCTCGAAATCAATAAAGGTCTTTTTGAGCAACGGATCAGGGAAGAGCAAGCGAAGGAGGATCCCATCCGCAAGAGACTTCTGCGCAACGACGGCGCCTTCTCCCCACGGACTATGAGTTTGGCCGGCGGGCCCGAAGGAAGCAGAGACTCCATGACCCCGCGGGTGACGACGCCTCTGACCGAGCTTACCATACCGCCCCCGCTGCTCGACGACTTAAAGCAGGAAGATGATGGGCTGTCCCAGGAGCCAGCGGGCTCGGAGCACACAACAGCGCTCATCACTGACGTGCCGGAGCCGGAGGACCCTAAGGAGGTGAACGGCATCGTGACGTCTTTCGATTCCGTGGCGGACTTTGCCGCAAGCGATCCATTCCACTGCAGAGACAGGGCTAGTAGCTCGCCGGACAATCATCCCGGCCATAACGGCAAGCAGCGGTGCAGCGAGACGACGGACGGCAGCACCACGGGTCCGTACACTGGGGACTGGGCCTCACAGGCAACGAGTGCCACCACCGGCAAGATGCCTTTGTCGCCGAGCACTCAAGGCACTAGCATTGTCAGCAGAGAGTCGACGGAGCAGCTTCCAGGCGTGCCCACGATCTCGGAGCCAAAGCCATTCGCCGAAGTCAAGCCCGAGTCTACGTTCCTGGACCACGACGTCAACGGACCTCACTACGACGCCAACGGCTCTCACTTGTCGAACGGGTCTTTGGGCAAAACAGAAGGCGGCAAGGTTGTGAAGAAGAAATCTAGTAGATTCCGCATGAATGCATTCCAGTTCTTTCGGCGGAACAGAGCGTCGAGCCCGTCCATGTCAGCGGCCGACGCAGCTACCTGATAAACCAGGGATCTTGAGCGAGACGAGCCGATTCTGGCATCTACATTCGAATGGTGCGGCACAGGCACAGGAAAGCCACGACTGTGGTGGCTCACGCAGATTTCCCAGCGATCGATATACCCGAGCCACCACAGACTTGTTAATCTAATCGCGATCCGAGATGATGGGAGCAGCGCCACAGTCGAACAAAAGAATTGTAAAGCACAGTATACGGAACTCGCGATTTATGTACAGTATTGGGGATGGAGTTAATGCGTATTGGGTGTTTGAGTGCTTCGCCTACATTGGCGACGATAACGAGGGGAATACGGCCGCGCAAGTCATGAGCTGGATGGCAAGGCCTACGACATTGCTCTTCCGGGGTCTCGACCGCCTGCTCAAAAGTAGGCTGGGTGGGAGGCGGCGTTCTGGGCAAGTCGGCAGGTTGTGACGATTTCAGCTTTGGGACAGTCAACAGACGGTCTGATATTGGGCAACAATGGCGGAAATGCCATATTTTGGTCTGGCTAGTGGGCGTGCTATCGGACCATGGGATGGATGGAAGGAGTAGGTATGTGAAGGCAACGGCTAGACATAGCCGACAGCCCACAGTAGATGATAGCAAATTCTAACAAGTTCACTATGATTGTGAATCGACTCTACCGGTGCATGCCGAGATGTCAGGAAAGGGGACGTTGCCGGTGCCGTGGTTGCTATGATTTGTTCCTAGACTGAGTCTGTTGGATATGTGGATGAATTTTGAAGCACATTGGTGAAGTCGAATCCCGACGGTAAAGTATCTAAGTCTGCGTCGACACCCTTCCAGTCGATCGGGCGAAACGGCATGGCATTGGTGGATGGGTGGGTATCTAGACGGCCGAAGAGGTTCTCACACATATCAGAGAAGGATCCACCCACATGAAGTCATGTCTTGGCCGCGACGAAGGATGGCTTTCTGGACTGACACGAACTACAAATATAGTGAGGCACGTATTCAAAGTAAGGAAGGCGAATGACCTAAAGGCTAGTAATCGGAAGCGGGCGAGTATAGCACCCGTAAGCAGCACACAAAACATTTGGCAAGCGAATGTCAGTTGCAGTTCGTCGGCGACTGACTGAGGGCACGCCGGCGGCATTGAGAAGCAGTTACAACGCACCGAAAAGTGATGGGTCGTGGCACGCGTGTGTAGCGGCGGCTGAGTGAGACAAATGTTGCGCAAGGTCTAGTACGAACACCATCTTCCCTCTTTCAAAGTTCCTCGACACACCGACAACACCACGAGCAAGAAGATGGACTTGTTGCTAGGGCGTCGGATCTTGCAGTTTGCGTTTGGAGCGTTACTGTTGGGTTTGGCTGGACGTGAGATCCCTCCCGTTTGGTTTGGAATGGCTAAGCCGGGCGAATGGGACGGCGGCATCAGCTTATCAGCAAGGAAGAATTATGGAACCTCCGCAGCAAAAGGTCCCAGGTCCAGGCACAGGTTCCTGGCCGTGGGATTGTGAGGTGGTGCCTGAGGTGATTGCCAAGCGGTACGGCGGTACCTGACATGACGCAGACGAAGCAGGGCTGGCGAAGAGCGAGGGACGGCGAGGGAACGTACCGGCTTATCAGATTGTCGTGCGTCGATGAGTGGGAGTCTGTTAGCAGATCTGCAACAGGCAGGTTCCCTTCTTTAGCGTCCGAGGCGCGGGGATCAGGTGGACAGTGTTTCCCGACTATCGTTTAGCCAACCCTTGGAGAGCTCACGAGCCAGTCGTTTCTCTGCATTGTGAGCTGGAGCTCTCCACAGCAACCTGTGCATTGAGGGTGGTCCACGCAGTTTGTGTAGGTATCCGTATCCGTAGAGCTGTTGCTTGAGTTGTGTCGTTGCCATTGCTGTTGCGAGCCTGCGACAGCGGTAGCGCGACCCAGCTCGGCCAACGCACCCCAGCCCCGATGGCAGCAGCAGTGACAAGCTGTGCACCTCTGCTCTCTCTGGGTCTCCCCCCACCCCCGAGCACCCAGAGTATGAGGCAGAGCACCCAGCCAACCCGCCCGCCTCCGTCATGTTTCATTTATTACGTCCGCGAGCTTCCTGCCTGTCGCCTGTCACACTTCCTCCGAGCTCCCTCTTCCTCTCATTCGCTTTCAACCTCCCATCTACAACCTCCTCTCCCTCCGCCATCTCTACTTTCTTCCCCTCCCCATAGTCATCTCATTTCATCTTTTCTGATTTCGATTCCATCGTCAGTGCTCCATCAATCGAGTTGACTGCCCACCATGAGGTTCTCAACCTCCGCCCTCGTCCTCGGCGCGGCCTCCACCGCCCTCGCCTTGGACCAACAAGTCCTCGGCGGCCAGGACAGCCCCTTTGACTCCATCAAGACCACCGGCGAGAACTGGCTCTCGGCTTTCGAGGACAAGTTCGGCAAGATGACCTCCGAGGCCAAGGCCGTTTGGGACGAGATCACCCTCCTCGCCCCCGAGGCCGTCGAGTCCTTCAAGAAGACCGCCCAGGCAACCAAGCCTAAGCCTCACCACCGCAAGTCCGATAAGAAGTGGGACCACGTTGTCAAGGGCGCTGATGTTCAAGGCATGTGGGTTGAGAAGGATGGCGAGAAGCACCGCAAGATTGGCGGTGACCTCAAGAACTTCAACCTTCGCGCCAAGAAGGTCGACCCCTCCGCTCTCGGCGTCGACAAGGTCAAGCAGTACAGCGGATACCTCGATGATGAGGAGAACGACAAGCATCTCTTCTACTGTAAGCAGCCCGCCCGATATGTTATACTATCTATGTCCGTTTTGAGTCGTGACTAACCTTATCGCAGGGTTCTTCGAGTCTCGCAATGACCCCAAGAATGACCCCGTCGTCCTTTGGCTCAACGGTGGCCCTGGCTGCTCTTCCCTGACCGGTCTCTTCATGGAGCTCGGCCCCGCTTCAATCGACAAGAAGCTCAAGATTGTGAACAACGAGTGGTCGTGGAACAACAACGCCTCCGTCATCTTCCTTGACCAGCCCGTCAACGTCGGCTACTCCTACTCTGGTTCCTCCGTCTCCAACACGGTCGCTGCCGGCAAGGATGTCTACGCTCTCATGTCCCTCTTCTTCCACCAGTTCCCCGAGTACGCCAAGCAGGACTTCCACATTGCTGGCGAGTCGTACGCCGGCCACTACATCCCCGTCTTCGCCTCTGAAATCCTCTCTCACGAGGACCGCAACATCAACCTGAAGAGTGTCCTGATCGGCAATGGTCTCACCGACGGCTGGACCCAGTACGGATACTACCGCCCCATGGCTTGCGGTGAGGGTGGCTACAAGGCTGTCCTCGACGAGGGCGAGTGCCAGGCCATGGACAACGCTCTCCCCCGTTGCCAAAGCCTGATCAAGAACTGCTACGACTCTGGCAGCGTGTGGTCTTGCGTTCCCGCCAGCATCTACTGCAACAACGCCCTCATCGGCCCCTACCAGCGCACCGGTCAGAACGTCTACGATATCCGTGGCAAGTGCGAGGACAGCAGTAACCTCTGCTACTCTGCCCTTGGCTGGATCAGCGAGTACCTCAACCAGGATGAGGTCAAGGAGGCCCTCGGTGCTGAGGTCGACAGCTACGACAGCTGCAACTTTGACATTAACCGCAACTTCCTCTTCGCCGGTGACTGGTTCCAACCCTTCCACCGCATCGTTCCTGGCCTCCTCGAGAAGATCCCCGTTCTCATCTACGCGGGCGATGCTGACTACATCTGCAACTGGCTCGGCAACCGTGCCTGGACCGAGGCTCTCGAGTGGCCTGGCCAGAAGAGCTTCAACAAGGCCGAGGTCAAGGGTCTTACTGTTGGCAAGGGTGAGGAGTACGGAAAGGTCAAGTCCAGCGGCAACTTTACCTTCATGCAGTTGTACGGCGCCGGACACATGGTCCCCATGGACCAGCCCGAGGCCTCGTCGGACTTCTTCAACCGCTGGCTTGGCGGTGAGTGGGTTGCGTAAATGCACTCACAGTAATGAGCAATGTACGAAACGAAGATTGAATAGCGTATGGAATGCTGGTGTAGCAGTGAACGCTCGGATTGGTTCGTAGTACAAGACTGGGCATATTGGAGTTTGTCAATACGGGAGGACCCAGTCGTCCGGTTTACCGATAGCGCCAGTTTACACCCGGCGCAATAGAATCTAGTTATGCTGTTAGAACATGACTCTCTTTTCCGTAAACTTTCAAGGTGTCCTGTTCTGATGGTGCTGTTTGAATGGGTCCGTCTCTACCAACCATGTTGTCCTGCAGCTGTAACGGAGATGAGTCGAAATGACAGTATTAGTCACCGGCGCCTTCTGTGCCTTAGCTGCAGAATTCCTGGCTCGGTATCCGCTAAAACAACGTCAGACCAACCCAGCACCTGCCGTAAACATATTTTACCATTGTCTGCTGCCCCTCCTTGCAGCTGCACCACATCAATACTTTACCCCGCCAAAACTTTTCTGGCAGACGGCTGCCTCCACCCTCACCGAACAACAACGAACCCAAGTAACTATCTCTCTCGTCGCCGCAAATAACCACATACGGTCGCGAAGGACCATCCTCCACACGATTCTCCATACCTCAAAGACTTATCGAAAAGCGACAACCTCACAACCGCCACAATGTCGCGGATGATCAACCAACCCTCGAACCAGATCAAGCTGACCAACGTGTCCATGGTCCGCCTGAAGAAGGGCAAGAAGCGCTTCGAGATTGCGTGCTACAAGAACAAGGTCATGGAGTGGCGGTCCGGCATCGAGACGGACCTCGACAACGTGCTGCAGATCCCCAACGTGTTCCTCAACGTCTCCAAGGGCCAGACGGCGCCCAAGGAGGACCTGGAAAAGGCGTTTGGCAAGGGCAAGAGCACAGATGATATCGTGCTGGAGATATTGAAAAAGGGGGAGATGCAGGTGGGCGGGAAGGAGAGGGCGGAGCAGACGGAACGGGTGCATAACGAGGTGATTGGGATCGTGGCGAGTCGGCTGGTAGATCCGAGGACGAAGAGGGTGTATACGACGGGCATGATTGAGAAGGCGCTTGATATGCTGAGCTCTGCGGCACACGGGGATGGAGACGATGCGCCTGGCAAGAAGGGCGCTGCTGGCGGCGGATCCAAGACGGCGAGCGGCGCGGGAACGCCGGCGGGCGGGGAAGAGGGCGAGGCGAAGCCCCGCGAGAAGGGGTTCCACTGGACGGGCGTGACGACGACCAAGTCGGCCAAGTCGCAGGCTCTCGAGGCGATGAAGGCGCTAATTGCGGCGCAGCCTATCCCCGTGCAGAGGGCGAGGATGAGGTTGCGCGTGACGTGCGCGACGAGCGTGCTGAAGCAGGCTGTCAAGGAGAAGCCTGCTGCCGGTGGCAAGAAGGGAGGCGACGACGACGGAGACGAACCGAAGCAGAAGCCCGGCACGGTCAAGGATCGGATTCTGGGGTTCGTGGAGCAGGTTGAGAGCCAGGACGTGCTGGGGAGCGAGTGGGAGGTTGTCGGGTTCGTGGAGCCTGGCGCGTTCAAGGGGTTGGGGGATTTCATCGCGGGTGAGACGAAGGGGATGGGCAGGGTTGAGGTTTTGGATATGGCTGTTATTCATGAGGATTAAAAAAAGAGGTCGGACGGGCCGGACGGGCCGGACGGGCTGATGTGGTGTTCTTGTCGATATACCCCCTTTGTAGACCGAGAAGGGTTTTCGTAGATTCATGATGAAGAGTAGATTTCACGACATGATCAGATATCATCGGCCGCGCCTCGTGTGAGCGTACCTGACAACGGAGTGAGGTTGTTCATCCACCAACACCATACATACCTTGCTAAACATAGGGAATCCCAGCCGACTCGGCAAAGGTAACACAAAAAGTCGAAAAGAAAGCCCGTTCGAACCCGCGACCTCTCGATCTCGAAGCGCCGGTAGGCAGGCAGGCAGGTAGGTAGGTGGGAGGTACCTCGAGGGACCCCCGGCATCAGAATCCATCTTGGGAGGTGCACCGACCCGTCACTAAAATTACTAGCAACGAAGATGCACGCAAAAATGGAAGCTGCCCGCTATGGCGTCACATCTGGTCCTGCTCGCCACTCAAGGCTGCCCATCTATGCACTCTAAGGGTAGAGTGGTAAAGGCACAATCATACCGTTCGGCCGTCGTCGACAACGGGCGATGCTTCCTTGGAGGTCGGGAGCACTTTTGGTCACTATGAGGGTATCGACGTCGCCCCCCCCCCCCCCCACCCCCTTACTTTCCTGTATTCTCTCCCTCCTTCCTTCCGCTGCACTTTGTTACCTCCGTAACATTGTTTGCATACACCTTGTGGTCTATTTCTCGTTGCTCGCCTTGTCCCCCAGGCATGTGTGGACCTATGGGTACACAGCACACTGGTACCTGGGCTCACTCAGGTCCGTATTGATGATCTCGACTCACTCTACTGTGCTGGAATAGATTGGCCCTCATACTCTTTTGCGAAGACGGCTGGTTCATTCCTGTCGTTTCATTATTGCGACCCCATTTCCTACCAAGCTGCACATCGCGACATCAGCTTTGCCTTGGTGGGATGTTTGGGCGTTGGCAAGCACGCCAGCCATGAAGCACGAAGAAGCCATCTTGAAGATGAAATCAGACCCGGGCCGGATCGGCTGGGGTTCGGGCTTTCCGTGTGGAGTTGAGGCTCCATGGTTTCTGCCTCCACACGAAGCAGGACGCTGGATCCGCTTCGCTTGGAAGTCGCACAGGTTTTGGAATTGATAGCCTTCGGGTGGCATTTGGCATTTGGCATATGGCATGTCACTATGATTTACAACGTTCTGTGCCGGGGAGTAAATGGTGTTCATAATCATCTCCCAGCAAGTCACCATTGCGATTAATGGCTTCTCTGCCACTGTCGAGAAGTTTAAACCTTTCATTTTGTGTATCGTGTGTAGAAAAATCACGTCACGTCGTCACCCAGAAACGCCGTGTACTTTTTTAGCTTTTTGTTGTTTTGGTATGATGGAACTCTTTCCGATTCGTTATCTAGAGACGCCACCATCCTGCGCAGAATAGCAATCCCCTTGTTGTAATGCAGCAGTAGAGTATCATCACGAGTGATGAGATGGAGAGAAAACCAGCCGTATCACGCCGCCTATTGTTCCTTGCCACCGCACGACCCAAATTTTCATCATCAGAAGCCACACGCTTAACCACCCTTCTTCTTGGACACACCGACCGTACGGCCGCGGCGGCCGGTGGTCTTGGTGTGCTGACCGCGGACGCGGAGACCCCAGTAGTGACGGAGACCGCGGTGGGCGCGGATCTTCTTGAGGCGCTCGAGATCGTCGCGGAGCTTGGAGGCGACGCCGTTGGCGAGGATCTGGCTGTCCTTGCCGTCGACGATGTCGCGCTGTCTGTTGAGGAACCACGAGGGGATCTTGTACTGGGTGGGGTTCTGGATGATGGTGACGATACGCTCGAGCTCTTCGGAGGTGAGCTCACCGGCGCGCTTGTTCAGGTCGACTGTGGTGGGAGATTCGTTAGTCTTCTCGTGTCCTCCTGTGATGTTTCGAGCTTTCTCTCTCCATTCCTAGCGCCAAGATTGCAGTCCTCGTGTGTGGATTCTGCTGGCGAAGGGAACGGGGAAAAGAGTAGGGCTTTCTCGTAGACGTACCATCGGCCTTCTTGCACACAATGTTGGAGTAACGACGACCGACACCACCAATCTTGGTGAGCGCGTACATGACCTTTTCCTGACCACGAACGTTGGTGTCTGCGAGCAACCGTTAGCCATCTCCTTTTTCCTCTTTCCAATTCTCGTGTCGGGTTTTCGCGAATGTCATGTCGGGGTGATCGGTGTGGTGTGTGTAGTAGGGTTTGCTGTCGTCGGTGCGGAGGGAGTATACATACTCAGAAGACGGAGAATGAACTGGAAGTTCGCTGTACCAAAAACAATTAGCATCGCCATTCCGTAAACTTGCTTTCTCTCGAGAAACAATTCGAATTATTCTGCGAGAGGCAGGAGGGGCGCTGGGATAGACGAACACTTCTCCCCGGAGACGAGCGACATGCTGGGCAACTGTCGTACGAAGGCTGCTCCTAGATGTCGATGGTTGATGGCTGACGAACAGATTCGGTCAGGTGTGATAGACTCTCGAGAGTGGGTGAAAGGAAATTTGCGAGTTTGGCGGTGGGCTTCGCTTACCCTATGGTCACGTGCACTCGGAGCGCACGCTCTTCGCCTCACGGCTGGGAAATTTTTCGGCGGGGACGGGTGACTAAGCCGCTTTCGTGGGCAGCGGTTGGCTGGGACCCGGCAGCGACCCCTCGCTCTCGAGACGCTTGTATCCACTTGATGCGAGAAAGCATGCAGGGGTCGTTTTCGATTGGTCGGGGTCTCTTTGGAGAAATCTACCTAATGCCTCCAGTGCTCGACTCTTTTGAGCCCACAAATTTGAACGGGCTCAACCGACGACATTCATCGGCAGTGGGAAATTGTTCTTTGCGCCGCAAGTTTCAGTGGTATGAGCCTCTTTGGAGCTTGTGGTGAAGGTCAAGGTATTAATTACAACCCAATTGGCAAGCGAGTCAACTAGGTACCCTACCGCACCGTGCTTCTCTGGAATATCGCTCCTCTGACCATCATCCATGCCAGCACCTAGGCAATTGTATGGTGTCTTTGGTCTTAATACTGGCCAGTCTTCAAGCACTCAACACGTCGATTCAAGAGATGCCGCGGCCTCTTCTCTCAAGCACCCTTGACTACTAGGTAGGTATGTAATCAAGAGCCTGCGATGAACTTGTCTTCCTTTCACATTTCCCAAGGCTTGAGATTACTCGGAATTACACACAACACATTCTGTCATGGAGCTTCTTGCAGTATAATTCAAACAGCGGGATACTTTCGATTCATGAATACTTCATTATCATCAACGCCCGTCATGATCCAAATAGACCCAGCCAGCCACCCAGCCTTCTCAAGCCCTGCCCTCAACTCCAGAACACCCCCATTCCCAAGTCCCATCCATCCGTCCACTCACACTATCACGCCGCGGGCGGGGCAGCAGGTTGCGCCTGATTCGCACCAGCAGCAACCGCCGCAGGTGGAGCCGGAGCCGGCTGTGTAACGCTCTGGCCCCCGGGATTCGATCCCACAATCACCACTCCGGACCCAGTGTTTCCCTGAGCAGGCGGGGCCGCCGCTGGTGCCGAAGCCGGCGCCGCCGCTTGTGGGGGTGTACCGGGATTCTTTCCAAACTGCACCGGTGCGACGGCCTGGTTGGCTCCGTCAACGATGGCTGCTCCCGGCTGTGCTGCCGGAGCATTCTGCGACGCCGGCGGCGGCGCTGCTACTTGGGCGGGAGGCTGTGCCGCGGCGGGAGCGGCAGCTGGAGCAGCGGCGGGAGCAGGTTGCCCCTGGTTCGCGCCGACCGCGATGCTTCCCAGGTTCTGTCCGCCTTGCTGACCCTGAGCCTGGGCCGGAGGCGGCGGCGGCGTCGCGACCTGCGCTGGAGGTTGAGCTGCTGCTGCCGGAGGTGGCTGTATTCCTCCCTGGTTCGCTCCGACGGCAATGCTTCCCAGATTCTGGCCTTGACCTTGCGCCTGAGCAGGAGGCGGCGGTGGTGCTTGCGCCGTGTTGTTGCCCCTGTTCCCATTGAAGATGCCCAGCCCGGACAACCCGGCCAGCTGCGCGGCGGCAATCTGCTCAAAGCTCGAAAAGATCTGCGCCGCGGCCCCGGCCAGCGCCGGGTTTCCGTTGGCAGCGTTGGCGGCAGACGTCGCGCAATCGGTCAAGAATGTCCCCGCATTCTGGACAAAGAGGCCCTGTTGCTGCGGCAGGATTATGGCGGCGGGATCCGGGACCGAGAGCAGCTGTGGCGCCTGCGTGCCTGCGGGGAGGATGATGCTCTGGCCTACCTGACCAAAGGGGGCTGCCTGGTTGAAGGCTGCGAGACTGAGAGTGTTGTCGGCGGGGGCGGACCCAACGGCCTGGGCGCTGAAGTCGGACGTATTGGATCCAGCAGACGAAGATGAGTCCTCGAGCTGCACGCGGGCGGCGCCAAAGGCGTTTGCTTGGGCCGATGCTGCCTGCGGTGTCGAGATTTCAAGGTTGGTTGGGTCTGTTACCATGACGAGCGTCTGTTTCCCTGCCTGCCCATTGTCTGCGAGGAGCTGGTTGACAAGGTATCGCTTGTTCTGTTGCCCCTGGTTTCTATTGTCGACTAGGCCGGTGACGGTGACGATGATGGTGTTCTTTGGTCAAAGTCAGTTTTGCCCTGATAGGTTGTTGTATACCCGTTGCCAGTTGTATCAAGGCGGTATAGTGAAGAACAAGGGTAGACTCACCGCCTGAGGAAATTGTGCCTTGAAATGATTAATCCGGATATTGTCCTTGACGGTTTGCAGCTGCGTCGCAAGTGCGAGCTGAGACTGTACCAATGCAGCGAGCTCTCTCTCGTTCTGCCTTTGCAGCTGGTTGATCTTGTCGAGGTTCTCCTGGACGACGATGATGTTAGGCTTTATGATGTTTTGGATAATGTTGACATCGCCATTGTTCTTGTTGTTATTGTTGTTGTTGTTCTTGCTGTTGTTATTGTTGCCTTTGGCATTGTTCTTGTCCTGATTCTGGTTCTGGTTCTGGTTCTGGTTTTGTCCTTGCCCCTTGTCCGCGGCTTTCGCGTCCTGAGCAGGCGCTGGGACGACGTGAAAGTCAGCATTGCTATTCAAGCCAGGTGAGATGGAGTCGAGACCTACCCGCCACAGCCAACGAACTAAACGCCGCCAGGGCAGCAATAACGTGCTTGAGATGCATAGCTTGCTTCAAAGCTCACACAACCAATTAGGATTTACAAAACGAAAGGGGGATAGCAGTGAATGTTCAAGGCACAGCCGACTCGAAGAGTAAGAATTAAGAATAGAAAAGGATCGTAGGGAACTGAATAAGAGGAGAATTAAAAGTGGCCGCTGGGGCTCACGGAGAAGAGAGAGAAAGGCAGATGAACGGAAAGTGAACGCGAAGGGATGCCAAGAGATCTACTCTATCGGAGCATAATCTGTTGATCTCTTCTGATCGGTTGCAACGCAGAGAAGGAGAACAGAGACAGGATGCTGGTGGACTGCATATGTATATTAACCTTATTCCTGCCTGTCTTTCTCACCACCCGAAGAAAACAGCTTCATGGTCATGTCCGCCCTTTGTCGATGAATCTCTTCTGCTGCCGGGAGCTGCGTTTCCCGTGGTAGGTATGGGATGCCCTGGAGGCGGAACTAAGGAAAAGGGAGGGGCCTCCAGGTCGTGGATGGACGGGATGACAGATCTGGTAGACATTCGTCTCGTCGTAAAACTCCCGAACCCTTGCCCCCTGTCCTACAAGCAAGTAAAGCCGCAGTTGGGAAAAGAAGAACGCACGATGGTGGCTTCAGAGTCAGGGGTATTAGTGATCTCGAGGCAAAAAGGGAAGGGTGTCCTGGTACCAGAGAGGGGTAATGGAACCCAAAGTCAGGACGACTTTAGTAGGATAATGGAAGGGAAACCAGCCTCACCTGCCATCCAACCTGAACAACAACTTGACATGCCCGTACGCCGGTCGTATGCCGCCTCAACCGTCTGATGCCGCACCTGTCAAAGCAGCCATCATCCCATCGAAGAAAGGGACAGGGTTCGGTCCTTCAGCCACCAATCACATGGCCGCCCTCTAGGACCCTGGGCGGCTTTGCGACCCCACGCGAAACGGTATCACAGAAGAGCCTCATGAGACAGGGGAGAGTCCGAGAGGAGAGGAGGGGTTTTGCTCCATCCCGAATTTCCTCTTGCCATATGCGAGTCAGCAGGGGAAGGGTGTCACGTCAATGCGTAGAGTTTGGCAACTCGTCGCGAGTGATGCCGGTGACCATCTGTAAATCTCCGTTGCCTTGCACTCATCATGATCAACCGCCAAGCAAAGATCGCATCCAGGTAGGAAGCAAGCCGCATTTTCGAGAACTTGAAGATTCCAAAAAGCGTTGAGAATGCACTAGAAGAGATCTAGACTCATCCGCGGCTCTTTGAATTGTCGTCCGGTAACACCAGCCTGAGTCGGAGAATTAGGTGGTTTTTTGAGTTAGGCTCGAGCCGACGCAGATGCCAAGTCCTAAGCCAAAGCATAAACGCTTTCCGTTTGGGCCGATGACAGCTTGGCTGACGGGGAGCCGAAGCTTGTTTTCAAGAGACCACACTGGAGTTTGATCCATGTGTGGGTAGATGGAGCAGACTCGAAACACGCAACTCAAGCCCCTCATCCCTGTCACTGTTTAGTAAAGCATACCACTTCAATGCGACTCACTGATAGACGACAAGTAAGTGTATCATCTGCAACTCTGCAGCGTTTCCTCGTGTAGTCATTAATACAGAAAGTCTGCCTTGCGAAATCCAGGTAGAGGGAACATTCGGTTCCAACCCGGGATTGTCGTACAATGCCCATCATACACCATAAGTCATATTACCAAGCCACAGTAAAGCCAGGAAGCCCACAAACTTCAGTCGCAAGGCGCTGTTTGACGCAATGGTGCCTTTCGTTCTTCCTCTTTCTGTCGCCTTTTCCATGGCTGCCGCCGAACGCCATGGAACAGGACTTATCTTACCGTCCTTAACCGGTAGGCTGCGACCCAACGAGACTTCTTCGGCCTGCTCCCTCTCCTCTACTCCCGTCAAACCCTTAACGATGCGGACAGTGGCACTCTGGCATCTGTTGCAGGCCCAAAGGAAGACAGTAGCAATGATTGTTACTTCAGCTGCTCTCGGTAGGCGGCCTCCGCTTCCAATCCTCAAAACCGCAGCTCCATCACTCGCAAGCCATATGTGATGGTGCAAAATGTAGGCCTCAAGCGACATTCTTCCGAGAGCCGCCGCAGGCGGGATTTGAAGGTCTCGCAACTTCCGGAAAGAGTTTCTCGTAATTATGGCCGACAGCACAAACCAGGGGCTCGTGTACGGATGGTAGGTGTCGTAAGACTGGTTATTGTGGTATACCTCGGCGATGAACGCAAGGATGATGAAAACAATGAGATACGCAATGGCGAAAATTATCATTATCGGCTTCACCGGAATCGCGTCTTGTTCTGGATAAGTGATTTCCAACAACCCGCGGTCAAGTGCGTTGTTGATCTTTTCAAAGAAAGCTTCGGCGTTGATGCCATGCTGGCGACGCCTGAGAACCGAGACTCGGTGCGTCGCAGCCGCCGTAAGTATGCCAAAGTAAGGTATAAAGCGGTCCATGGCGAAGTGGGCGCGCAGGGGATTTACGTCCCAGTAGATCCCACAAGCCCGTTTGAGAATTGACAGAAAACGCTCAGGTGTACGGGTGCTTTGTACCAAGTACGAAGTGCAGACAGCAAACACAACAACCTTTACAAAGAATGCAACAGGATTGCTGTTCCACTTCTTGAAGCAAGCCAGCGTTGCATAGATGACTGCGAACCAAAACGTCAATAGTGGCGCAGTGTAGATGATCCATTCGCTTGATACCATGAACGCGATCAAGCAGGTCAGCAGGTTCAGCCGACCTAACACATATGCGACCCTGCGTAACGAAAAGTCTTCGGTGCGGAGGAAGTATATCGTGTGACCGTAGCTGAACAAAAAGATGAATGTCGCCGTAAGGAACTTGTGTACCTTATACATCGCCAAGGACTCGGATGCGGTGTGGTACTTATACAGTAGAACGAATACCAGCATCCAGCCTCTCCACTCGTCTGTTTGCTCTCGTGACAGAAAGGACGTCGTAGTGAGTCCTTTCGCCGACGACAAGACAGGTGCTTTGAAACGAATTGACAGAGCTGCGAAAATAGCTAAGCCAACCAAAGGTGACATAAAGTCGGGTATGTCAAAGTACTTGTCCTGTTTCGCGAAGATGTGAGTCCGGTCGGCGATAAGGCAGTATACCGCAACGATCAGTATGGTAGCCAACGCCAAAAGAGTATCCATGAAGCGGGACGTTCGGGCAGACGGAAAAGCATCCTGCTGCCGACTCAAAAACAGGATTGGCATTGTCAATACATTGAGGCCAAGTAGCAAAAGCTGAATCCGACGAAGAGGGGAGTACGGTGCACAGCAGGTGACCTGGTTTGCGTATCCTCGTCTAATCAGACCGGCATTGCAGTGGGCATTGAGGACGACATCTAGTTTTCTCTCTGCCACGATGTCGACCGAATGTATACCGTCCTCAAGCATAGCGTCGTCATGTCCCTCAGTCATGCTATTGTAGGCCCATGCGATGTGTGATTGTTCGTTCAGCTCCAGGTGATCCAGGTTCCAATTCATGGCGTCAATCCTCTTAGGAGTGATGGCTCGGGCGCGGGATGTGGTAAGCATATCGTAGGCTGGAACAGGCACGGGTGCCATGAGGACATGGTTAGAAAGCTCTGCAAAGGCTGACTGTGAGTTGCTCTGGGGGTACACCATCAATTCGTCGATACTTTTGTGCAGGTACGGCATAAGGACGTTGATGCCTTCCCTGAAGAGCTCCAAGTACCGGTCACCGCCCTGACGCGCCGCCCATAGACCTGGAGTGCCGAGAACGATGAGCGCTGGTGACCCTCTTCCTTCTTGTCGAACAAGTTTCTCATAATCGGCGGATCCGGGACGGTCCCGAAATCGAGCCAATTGGCCGTGGAGACTCGTGGAGTTGAGCCAAGGGTCCCAGATAAACTCCAAATTGACGCCTTCGACATCCGTCGTGAGGTTTTGATGTTTGTCGTCCGATACAGCGAAGTCAAGAATGGCTTTCTCGGCGACGTGATGGTCAAGTCGAGTCATGGCAGCAAAGTAGAGCTGGCGCATAGTTGAGTCTCCAATGATAACCAGGTGACGACCTGCGAAGCAATCCGAGACATCCTCGCGGGACATCTCGCGCATTCTGCAATTGTCGGGTTCCCATTTCGAAAAGACGTCTCTCGGCAAGTTTGAGCCGGGGCGCGAGCGCCAGGTGCCGTTGGAGAGCAAAGCGTTGCACTTGTAGGGATCATGTTGGCCTGCATCTCGTGTCAGCTTCTTGACTCAGCTTAAGCTTGTCCAGGACCCTAATTTGGTGGGGCAGTTGGAGAATGGAACTGCTTAAATCGTACCGAATACGAAATACTGGTAGACGACTGAGAGAAGCAGTATCAAGAGGGAAACCCGCGGTATGGTCCGGAGAAAGAAGGGCGAGCTCCCAGCAGAGGAAGCTAGCCTTTGAATGCTGCGAATCATTGGGGGCTAGGAGGGACAAAAAGGAACCACCCAATAAGGTACGGCGCGCGATCTCAATGCTCCGACTAGTGGTGGCGGTTGCAGCTGGCGGGAAACCGCATTTCTCTTCCGCCTAGTGGAACGCTCTCCGGACTGTTCAGGGACGGGTTGAAGAACGGATCAGAAGAAGACTTGCGATGTTACAAAACCGTGAGAGAGCACCACGAAAGTAGAGTAGAACGCGAGTTGAGGTAGAAGGGGAGGTTCGGAGAGGAACAGTCAAGTCAAGCGGCGAAGAACCCAAGAAAGGAATCGGACTGATTGTCAACCCCGTAAGACGCGCATGCGAGCGCGGCTGCCATTTCCCTTATAATGCCAGCAACGGTCGAAGCCAAGAACCCAACGGATGACAGGGCTGGCGCTGCCAAGGTGCCGCTACGGAAAGAGACCCGTCCATGGTCTTGGGATGTCATTCCTCAGCCTGTGACCTGTCAGCCTGGAGGGAAGGGAGTGGAGGGAATCCGCGGAAAGGGGAAGGCAGTCACACGTACGCCGCATCTACGTAGACCCCAGAGCGGCAGAGCACACTGCATTGGCACATTAGGCCCTGGGGAAATCGATAAAAGATGGATGGGGGGTTGCACTTGGTGGGAATCACCGTCAGCAAGCGAGTTGTTGGTGACTGCTCAGATGGGATGAACGGGCAGCCGCGAGATAACAGGCCATGCACCCCCCTTCCGTGATCCCTGCTGGATGTCGACGACGCACCTTCTTTTGGCAAGCCAACACGCGACGTTGTGGGGGAGACTCCGAGAGAGAGAAGCACGAACCCGAGCACCGTCATTCTGCCCGCGTCATTGGCACCGTGTGGGATGCTCATAATCCCGCTATTGCCGCCAATAGTTTGTTATCAATCAATCACCCAACCCGCCGGTCTCTTTGGGACTCTGGGAGTTTTATGGGCCAGTGAACACAGTGCGGTCCACTTGTGTTGGCCAGTGCAGCCACGCTGACGGCCAAGAAGGCGCACCGCCTATTTTCTTCTCGGCTCGAAATTTTTTCTCACTTCATTCGTCCATCTTCCCGTCGGACACCGTTTACAGTCTGCCAAACAGAAGCCGTTGCAAACGGCGGCACAGCTCTCGATGCTCGAGGAAGTTGACTACTCGAGCACTGCCAGTCGCTCCATGGTGTTTATACTCCATTCGGAGCATATCAGGCTGCTGTAAGAACAGAGAGGTAGGTCAGAGCAAGGAGGCTTCCGCCAGTCACGTAACGCATCACACACATGCAAACTTGATGCCGTCTTTTGCCATAGCTCGATCAGTTCAGCCCTCTCGTCTTCTGATCTTGAGCCGGATACACCACGCCTTGCGCGCGGTAGTATGAGACAAGATTGAACCCCAGGCAATGTTCTTTGAGTACGTAACCTTCTGATTCCATGTGAAGGCTTGCGTAATTTATCTGTTGTCACACCTCTCAATCTCGGCGCTCTTTTTCCATGTAGAGATCTGTTCCATTTTGTGCGCGTATCTACCTCTCTACCTAAGAGGTAAAAAGAAAACTTTTTGTAAAGGCAAATTTCAAAAGCAAAACATTCGGTACCGTTCGTTCCCGTTCCATAGTCTCAAGAAAGCCGCCAACCCAGCCGCAGGCTGCTTCGCTTGAGTCTTGACTCCCTACTCACATCCCGTAAAACCCTGATACATGTGAGACCAATCCGCAACCCTCACTGAATGAATGTTGCCCAAGTGCCAAGAGGGCGGGGAGTGGGCTGCTTCTTCTGCTTGACATTCGCCTCCAGAGCCGACAACAGACCCTGACGGTCGAACTCGGTCAGCTGAAGCTTCTGCGCAGTCTGGATATGCTGAACGTCAACTTTCAAGATGTCTCGGATGGCAAGAAGCTCGTCAGCGCCAAGGCTGTCCGTGATGCGCTTGGTCTTGTAGTTCAAGAGGAAGTGGTTGCTCATCATCTCCTCACGCTTGTTGAAGATGGCAGTCGTGGCCTTGGAGATTTTGATTGTCACTTCCTTGAGGTTGGGGCACTTGGCCAGCTTGAGGAACGCCGAGTCAGATTGAGGACCGCACCAGTGAATCTCAACCTTGCGCAGGTGGTCGAACAGGTTGCTATTGGTGTTCAGGTGGCCAAGAAGCTCGCAGCAGCAGGCAAAGTACTGAGTCTGTTCGCCGTAGTAAATCTGATAGAACTCGTCTCTCAGGGCTGCTCCCAGAGCCTTGTACATGTTGAACTGTTGCTTCGCCATGTGTCCCCACAACTTTGCCTCAGGGTTGACACAGTTGCAGCGATACTTGTCTTGGATGCGCTTGAGGGCAGGCATTCTGCATGCCTTGGAGCTGGTCTCAACGACCATGTGAAGCACCCGTGCTCGAATCTCACGGGGCAACTTCATGAACGGGAAGACGGTAGGAGAGGGGCGGTCTGCAATACAGGAGTCAGTTACTCTGTGGACTTTTCCATTATGATATTCCCGAAAGCAATCTCTGAAAGAACATCAAGGTCGTTGAGTTCAAGAAGCACTTACTGGCAATCTCCAAGACTTCGGTGCACATGTGAATGAGCAAGGCGCATTCTCTTGTCTCATCTTGCTTGTTCTTTTTCTGCTTTGTCATTCTCTCGGTACACTTTCGGATAGTGTCGATCATGGCCTGACGTCTCTTGGAGCTCAGACGAAGCATCCGGCCGAGCTCGGCCATGTCAATGGTGCCTGTCTTGGTGTCTTCCAGAGCTTGCAGCATAACCTGAGTGTTGTGGCACAGGTCGAAGCGCTTGTGGATGTTGCGACACTTCAAGACGAACCATGAGTCCATGCCCAAGACCATCTTGTCGGTATGCTTGTAATTCTTTTTCTTTCCTTATGTACGATATTTGACAATCAAAATGCCCTTGCTGAACACTTTGACGATATATGCTCGGTGCATTAAGCCTGGTGTTGGGACGCTGGCGATGTTTGGTCGGAAAGAAATGGTCTTGAGTCTGACAAGAGCTCTGACTGTTGTCGCCCCTGAAATGAAGTGATCTAGCGTTCGAATGAACCGCGTTGAAGTTATCGTGAATGGCCGGCTGGATGTGATTCAGGTTTGGGCTAATGTTAAGCGAAGAGGAAACGCGGAGATGTCGGTATACGGTCCTGAGGTGTGTTGGGTAAGAAGAGGAGTCTTGGATGGGAAGAGGGCCGGGGAATATTGAAAATCAAAGTAGTCCAGGACTGATGAACTCTTTGAGACTCTCGTGAACTTGGATGGCTGCTAATGGAAGCTTTGTCGATGATTGCTCCTACGTGAAGACGACGCACAACTTGTGGTGCTTATCAAATCGACCTGCAGCTTCAGTATCAGTAGAAGAGCAGAAAATTTTTGGGATCGAGATGAGCTGTAGGCTGCGATATGAGGATGTCCTCATATAGTGATGGCGTTTAGATGTGTATAAGAATTGAGAGTCGTGAGAAAATAAATGCCAACACGTAATCCAAGAACTTACCTGTTTGTACTGCGTGAGTGGGTGAGGAAGACGAGAAGACGAAAGTTTTGTCCTTCCACTCGGTATGTAGAACCGGTATGAAGGAGGAAGTGATGTATCAAAGCTCAAGGGCTTAGAAGATATAATGTAGTGTGAGCTCCGGTGATGTGAGTCGTAAAGTAGAAGGGTGCACTGGCGATACCCCGGTTGGTGAGGTGTGAAGAAGGAGAGACTTGTTCAAGGGTCGCGAACTGTGAACTTGAGATGTGGTGCGAGCCTGGTATGGCAAGAAAATAATGTAGAAAAGGGTCTTGTCGATACCTGAGTTTGTGAGGTATGAAGGGGGAAGGGTTGCTGAAAGGTTCCGGGCGCGGTGGATATATGCCCCGTGAGGTGACGTGAGGCGTGTGAGCGGAAGGGTCGAACAAGATCGTTCAGAGGAGGGCTGAGGAAGGTACGAACGAGGCTGTTAGAGGTGTAGCCTGTGCACTCAGTTATCAGTGCGGCACGAAGTGGGAAGAAATTTCTCAGATTTCCCGGGTGTACTTGTTCTGATATAAGCCCATGAGTGGGATGTGTGTATGTGAAAAGTATGAAGGAGGCTTTCGAGAAGAAGTAGAGGCTCGCGTATCGTGGGTGCTCAGCTGTTTTTCGAGTATGAAGAATTAATGGATTCCTTAAAGGGTCCAAGGGATAAATGTGACCGTGGAGTGGGATGTGCCTGCTGTAAGTCTGGCAGCTGCGGAAGAGGATGGTCAAGCAGAGAGTAGAGAAAGGCAAGTGTGGTCCCGAACGCTCAGGAGTCCGTGAGATACGAATGGGCAAGTAATCCCTTAGAGGTTTTGGGTGAGTATGTGATGTGAGTGTAGGCGCGATTTGTATGTGCACATGGGACAAGTGAGAAGGGGGGTGCTCGGTGTAGGGTTCAGAAGGTAGATGGACTTTTGCTCTTTCTTGTTGTGGAAGAAGGTGGAGAAGCCAATCCTTATTTCTGTGCTTTTGTGACTGAGGTGTAAAAATGAAAGTAGGGAATGCCTTTGAGTGGAGGAAGATGTATTGATACAGTTGAAACGGGATGCGATGTTTTCTTGGCAGGCACAATGGTCGACTAAACGGCAGGCACAATGGAGTCGCTTATTCAGGAAGGCAGGTACGCTACAGTGGGATCGGTCTAGGAAGGTGCAGATAATTAAAGGCGGTCCAGCTGTTTGAAATGTTCTGTGTATCAGTTTGTCAACATCAGAGAAGGCTATGTAGGCTAAATGCGACGTAGTGTGGTTCTCTCCCCACGTGAGGCTTAAGTCGACTACACTACTAAATGCTGTCCGAAATGTCACTGTGAGGGGAGATAACAGGTTACCCAGGGGCCAGTAAAGTCATTTTGTCTTTGACTCAAGTTCATTCGGATTGCCGAATGATGTATAAGAGGAGCTCTTCAACAATAACGGCCCAAGTGACATACTATCAAGGCTGTTTGACATCCATTAGGGTATGTGCAAGTTCAGGAGGCATATTTCGGGCCATAGCGACTTCATGGCTATGCCTGACATATTGTGTAAGCGGTTTGATGATTCAAAACTCAGTTCTAAGTTGGGTTCAAGAGATGAAGAAGTTTCCATCACTGAGTGTGGTGCGATATTCTTGGAATCCATCACAGATATCCAACTTGACATTGTTGCTGGATAGCTGATATAGGTGCCGAGAGATTCAGCAACACGACGGAAGTCATAATCTCAAAACTACTCACTCAATTGAAACAAGCTCATCTTAAATATCATGCTTGTACTTGTGGATTTGTACGAAGAGTGGGCATGTTTGTCGTATCTGGAAAGCCTTAAGGGATGGAAACGTCATATGCTTCTTTCCCCAAGCCAACAGCTTTTCTCAGCAAGTCAACAAACCTTGTGTATTGCTTGGATAACAAGCAAAATGCTACAATCGCCAGTAATCACTTCACAGCTGACAAAACTATGGAAAACTCGACATCAGGTTGCGGATTAAGCATAGCAAATGTAGGTAGGACTACGGCAACATGTGTTACAGCTACCAGGAGCTGGATCCACGCTCTCATTCCTAGCTTCCCAAGAAACCCCATCTAAGTGGCAACATGTCACGAAAATTCATTCAATTAACAAAAGCAACGGTGACATGACTGGCAAGCGAGGCGATTCCGAGAATAGTCTAGACAGAGCAATCCTTTGTTAACACATGGTGGGGCGACATGCCAGGCTTTATTCCAGATAGTCCAGACATCAACACTAATATCCTTTGTTCAGATCCCTTAGGTCACCGGTGCAATCAATTGCCACTTGAAACGATGTGTTATCAACAGAGTAGAATTTCTCGTGTGTATCGTCGACTTCGAGGTGGAGTAGTCCTTGCCTCGGTCCCAACTTGTGATATCCAAGTCAAGCAGTGTTGCCTTATTCATACAGTAACTCAGATGCCATTCCCAATCCAAGCTCCCCCATTATCATAGCAAAAATAAAAAGAAACTAAGGCTCGAACACAATGGCCATGGTGACCTTTTCCCCCCGAAAATTCCAACCCCAAACTCCAAGGCGATGCCGGAAAAGAACGCTTCGAGACGCCGAAATTGGCTGTCTCTCGATCCCCGAGATGGGAAGTAAAAGTGTCTCAGACGAGAACGGTTGAGAACCCCTCGGGCCGGGACCCTCAAGATCTCTCATCCTCTTCCGGGACGGACCGGAACTGACTCTCGCGAGGCAAGGGGTTCATCCGGAGCGGGCTGTCATCCACGTCCACGCTGTTGTGGCGTGATGTGCCGGGGCTGACGTTGATGCTGTAGTAACTTGACCGCGCATCGCGGCTCATCGGGCGTTGGCCCTTTCCGAATGTCATGGTGAAGCCGTTGAGGATCTCCTGGTGTCTAAGGTTGGTCTCGTTGAAGGGCCTCTCGCGCGGGTCGGCCTCCTTCTCCTTGTTGGCGGTCTTCTTCTTTGGCTTCTCTTCTTTTGCTGAGCGCCATCCGAATGTCTTTGCGAGGCGAAGAGCTGGAGACTTTGGGTCTGAGCTGGTACGCTCTCCCTGGCTAGGCTCGGAGATGGACTTGCGGCGGCGGAAGTGATCGCGGATGGCCATTGCGAAAGTGTTGATGATGCGTATGTAGAGCTATTGAAGAAATGGGTGATGGAAAGGCAGAAGATAATATCGGTGGCTGATACTCTAAGAGACTGCTTGACAGGATGTCTGATATGTTTGAATAGGTGAAACTGATACTGGAGATATGCGGTGTAGCTTTGGATTGGCGTTGTAGGGTGTGGTTTGTCTGAGTGAAGGAGAATAATGGTAGGGGAGCCCGATGGTATTTATCCAGGTGTGACAAAAGCCAAAAGACTTGGCAGCATGGGAGGGGAACGGATGTGGCGATCCCAAAGAATAGCACCGTTGGAAAGACCCAAGATGGTGGGATCCGTGTTGCTCAAAGGACCTTTCCAGGACCCTGCATCGTTTGGGTTGCTCGCTAGCCGCTGCTTTCACGACCCGTGAGGCCATATGCAGGGCAGCTTCCAAGTGGACTAACAACGCGCTGGGTAGGAGTGGTAAGGTACCACTCACACCATACGGGCCGGAGATCGACTCTCCAGGCCGATGCTACCTTACGTGCTCAAGATGGAAGGCTTCTTAGATGGCGCAGCGTCCGCCTCCGGCTGTATGCGGGGGCCTTCTTCAAATGCGGGGCGACGTCATTCCAAAAACACCTGGTCTGGTGGCCTAGCCATTGCTCTTGGACAAGCTCCCTCGCCTGTGGCCGATAGTAATGCCACCGGGTTCCGATGTTTCCTACTCTCCTCTGATCCAGATGATCTTCAACGTGGCGGGGTTAAGGTCTTCGACGGTCTCGACCCGATCTCTAAACTCATTGTTCTGCATTCTGGCCGTCCCAAAATGTCTTCTTTGAGAAAAATCGACCCGTCCCCGATGGTACCGGCCAGGCCGGTTAGCGCTGCAGGTCTGGATTCCCGCCATGTCTCACTTAGTGCCAGGCACTTTAAACTCAATAGAATCGTAAGCAGCAATTCTCGGGCTCAAGCATCAAATAACTACCCGCGCGTGTGCGTTGAAAGGACATCAATTGGTGCACTCTATCTCCAAAGACCTAGCCATTTCCGGAACGCCGCTGCCAACGCAGTGACAACCGCCGGGCTGCTGCCAGAACCCATCCTGGCCGTCTTCGAGTCTGCCTAGTACCGAATCGAGCCAATTTAGATGTGCAGAAGGGGATACAAGCTTAGACAAAGAAGAACCTTGTGTGTGTGCGCTACCCAGTGTGCGCGAGAGTTCGAGGACCCCTGCTGATCCAACAGGACTCATCGAGATGTGCACTCGGCTCCAAAAACACCAGCGCTGCTAGATCCAAGGCCTCCCAAAGCTGTGAGACCCCAGGCCAGCGCTGCAGATTCCCAGTCCATATCCTCGTCGGGCAGTTCGTCGCCTTCGACAGCAGTGCGGCTTTCCGCAGGGCTCGGCTCGTACGCATCTTCTGGTGCCTCTTCGGGGTTTGCCGTACGCTTCAGGGTACGGCCTTGACGAGTGCTTCTAGATGAAGGTGTCTCTGAAATTGTCATCTCTGCAGACTTATTTTTTTCTGCATGTTGATTGCCCCTGCGTCGCGTGGAGACTGTGTTGGTGTGGCTGGACGATTCCAATTCCGGCTTTGTTTTGTCACTTCCTCCCAGTAGTCTGGGTGGTGGCTTTGCCTTCGATGAATCGTTCGGAGCGAATGGAGTAGAGGCAGCTAGAATGTCATTTACATCCAGCACACGTGTAGCCGCCCATAACCCTTGGCTGAGTCCGCTGAGCAAAACGTCCCATGCCACAGCAGCTACAACAGGATGGTCTGATGCAGATCCCAAGACTTTCCCCAGCGCCGTTGTTGTACGCTCCCACGTCGAGCGTTTCTCTGTGTCAAAAGGCAGGAACCGGCTATGACGATGGTAGTGGGCATTTGGCGCATTGTAGAGCAAAGCAAGCGCGGTGCCTTTGACGTGGAAGGCAAAACTTGCTGTGGACACAAAGCGAAAGAGTTCAGTGAATATGCCGTATGCTCCGTGAGGATCAGAGTACACTGTGCCCCAACTAGCTGGAACGACAGCGGGAATGATAATCGGACCAAAGGTCAGGAGTCGCCCAAAGATTGCGATCCGGGCAAATGTCGCTGTGCCTGTTGTCGACGGAGCCCAGTATATCAGAACGTAAGTAAAGCAGAACGATGCCAAGAGCAAGGCCGGGTGTGGCGTCCAATTGATAGACTTCACAGGCAGTAATCTCTCGCGCAGGCGTCCTAGTGCAGAGGTGGGATGTCTGTCGTCTGCAGTGGTGGTCGGGGCAGGAGTAAGAAGCAGTGCGAGATAGAAGAGGTTCTGGGCGAACGAGAGGCTGACGAGATGTGCCAATCCGAGGTAGGCCCAGACAGAAGGGATTCTTCTTCGTTTACCTTCGACTGCCAACAGCAAGCTCCATGAGACCGTTGCGAGTTCGATTTGCTGGCCCCACCAGAACCGACGAGCTTTCTCGGCGATGATCTCGAGAGCGTCCAAGTGGATTGGGGTATCACTTAGCCAGCGGCCAATAAAGACTTGAGTCGCAGTTTCGTTGGGGATGACTCCATGATCGCCATAGAAGCTAAGGTTCCATGAGTAAGCCAGACAAAGAAAGCGCAGAAGACGAAACAAACCGAACTGGAGCTTCAACTCCACGCTGGTCTGCCCAGACGCGATATGAAAGTTTCGCATAGCCTAAGGCCCAGTAACTTGCAAGAGACAAGCTAATGAGTGCCAAACTTGCGAACAATGGCGCAAGAGCTGAACGGCGAACAAGTCTTGCTCTTGTTCCTTGAGATGGCGGCAAGTGCTGATACGACCTGAACAGACTTCGAGCGACAGTGGTGCCGAGAATCGCCACTGCAAGCGCATGGCCAGCCACCAAGCTCAAAGGCAGGTACCTGAATATCACGTTAAAACTGTTGGCTTTCATTTCGATGATCAAACACACTTCACTTCCGGTTCCAAGGGCACCGGCGCCATGTTTGTTTCGGTGAAATGGCTAGGAGACTAATGCTGATTGTGGTGTTGTTACAGGATAATTAGCCACCTTGAAAGTTGCACCCGAGGTGAGTGATGTCGGCCTCGGGGGTCAAACGATGTAGGTGCGGCGCGCGTCATCATAGCACACACTTGGGCGCGTTCCTTGGAAGCTCACTCGACAGCCTCTGCCTGCTGTCGTCAATCACAGCGTCGGTATGAGGTGTACAACTACCTCTATTCGGGCAAGATGTGCTGTGTCGTCATGGTAGCGGTACCAGGCCAGGTAGACAGGGGCCCAGGGCCTCTGGCGGGAAGTGGAGTTCCAGGACCTGAACTGCACGTCAAGCACAGACCAGCGTGAGCCGGAGAAACAGAAACGGCGGCAGGGCTAGCGCGGGCAGGACTGCGACCAGCCCCACACCTCACCAACCATAAAAATCTCTTCTTGCGATGCAGCCTCTCTTGTCTTCTCTTTTCCTCTTTACTACAATCCGGATCAAATTTACATCGACATATGTTTTTGGTCTGTATGGCGGCTCCGCTATGCGGCTTGCTGAGGGTTGTCCTGTTCTCCTTGGACTTTCTTCCGTTCCCGGCCTCCTAAAGTAAATCCTATGTGAACACCTTTCCTTATCAGCCGAGTATGACGACTCTTCCTGGTATTTGACTGTGGGGTGGTCTCAACATCCTTTTATAAAGGAACCTGAGTTATTAAACTGGAACCTTCAGTGCGGAACGACACTTTTTCGCGTTCCAACCGACCTGAAACCTGTGTGCGGAAGAACCACATGGTTCAAAAGAGCTGCTCTTCCTTCACATGCAAATGCCTCGTAAAAACTGGATTAAACCATGATATTCTACCAGCTGCCTGGTTGGATTATGGAATCTTCCGTCTAAAACATCGGCCGAGTACTTCAGTAGTGGTTTACACTCATGACATGCGGATTGATCTACAAACCGACGTTAAGTTTTGCGCTCGCGACACTGTCGTGTGTTTGCACGGTTGCTGTCAGGCTAGGGACGACGTTAAATTGCTAGCTCTCAATTTCTGAACCATTGAAGCAGAGGCCTTATACGACTGTCCAACACGAACGTTCATCCTCCGCCAAAAATGACATGGGACCGAGCGGGTCCGTCTCTATCGCAGCTTCGACAGAGCGCTTCATCTACCTATGATCGCGCCTTCAAGTTGTCAGACGTAGTTGGAGCCTCGGCCTCCGCGACCATTCTTCCAGACCAGGAATACGAGGACAATAGTCGTCAGCGCGAACCCGAACGTCACAAACTGCATAGCCTGGTCTGCACTTGCCTTCCTGCACCTCTCTAATAAGACACTTTCGGTCATGCCAGGTGCCAAGTACCACTGTCCATCTTGTTTGACTTTTCCACCATTGATGATGTCGTTGTTCCCAATGGCTTTCCAATGCTTTTCGTCACATGCAACACCGTGTAACCCAATTGCGAAAGCCTGCCATCTTGTTAATAGCAAGTACATGGTATGATCATCGATGGACTTACTATACCACCACCGAGGAGCAAGACCCCACTCAAGGTGTCCGCGGCAATCACGACGAGAGCCGGAATGGCGTCTATGAAAACGGATACCAAGCCCAGCACGGCGACAGCTAATCCAAAGCCGCCAGTAAACGTGCTGTATTTGGTTGTCGTGGGAGCGTCGCCAATCTTCTGTCCCTTGACAAGGTCGACAGATAGCCCGAGGACAACGATAGCCATGATACCCTGAGGAACGCGCAGTGTTAGCTCAACCTAACTTCCAGACTTTACTGAACGAGACGAGTGTATCATCACAAACCTGAAGAGCCCAAACGCCCATGCTGATGAGGTTCAGCATCTTCGGAGCTGAAGACTCTACTTCGTTTAGAAGTAAGTGCGGTGCTTCTGCGCGAATGATAATCTTTTTGCTATACGGGATAAGATATGATAATAATACGAGGCAGACGACGAAAACCCGTGACGAAGAAGTACGACAAAGTAAAAGGCGATAGATAGCTCGCTTATATAGTATGCTCATTCAAAAATGAGGACAGTCCTTGAGGAACTGTGTCACTAGAAGGAGCAGACAATCAACAACCAAAACTGATCCTCAATCGGTCCCAAGACGGCGCAGCAAGGCGTTACTTACTCTGTTCCCGTTTCTAAGTGACACATAGATGAACTTCCTGCATGTTTGCGCCGCTGGACGAGTCACAACGATTTCTCATCGGCTACTTGCATATCAGGCAGGCTGCTTTGCCAGCTTCTGCCCGGTACTACTCTCCAATCACCGTACCACAGGGCTTTCTCCCTCTCATCTTGAGGCATACAGTCTGGCTCAGGCTCAAGCCTCACAGGCTGCAGCAGGCAGAAAATCCGAAGAGGCAGTGAGCCAGTTCCGAGACTGATCCTACAGGGTCTTGCCCTCGAAAGCATCGAATCAGGTTCCACCATACGAAGGTAGTCCAACAAGAATTAGTTCGGAAACAAGTAGCCAAGGGAGTGGGCCACCGCTTCGCAAGAAAGAGCAGGTACGACCTCGGTTTTGCTGGTATGACATGTTGCTGTTTGCCCGTCTAATTCTAGAATCACTATCTCGGGCGCCTACTCAGATCGTTGCCTCACCTTGAGTGGAATTTCCCCATGCCAGCACCTGTGAGCACCGCCTTTGCCGGCTGCTCCAGTTTCGGGGCAAATGAACGATATTGATATATTACCTGCCGTGCGAGCATCAGTCGTCGACTTTCTGGCTACTGCTGACTCATCACGCGAAGGTTAAAAGAACTGCTGCGATGAGGTAAGCCGGAGAATCTGAACTTGAGCTTTCCGAAAGATGGCCGGATAAGTGGAGTCCATCTGAAAGTGCGAATGCAACTGTATCCGTCACTTTCCACTGCATTTTGAACGCACGGGCCAAGTCGCGATTGGTCTGCCCAAATTTTTTCGACAGCTTCCATCATCGGCCTGCAAGCCCACATCTCCTGTCCACTGTCCAACTCCGATCCCCGGCTTCATTCATCCGCCACGTCCACAACCTTCGCCATGTCGTCGCTTTGGGATACTCTTTCTGGTCGTAAGTCCTCTCAGAAGGACGCCGGTGCTTCCCAGTCTTCACCGGCCCCCGAACCTACAACCACCTTCCAGAACACCCCAGCACAGTTCGACCCTTCAGCAGGATCTGGCGTCGAGTCTTTCCTTCAGAGCTCATCCTTTGCCGACCCCGCGCAACTACACCCCCTCTCTGGACTGAACAAGGACACACTCGAATACCTTTCTCTCGAAGATGCGGCTCTGGCGGATGTCCCTGGCCAGTCTGCCCTCCCCTCCCGAGGCTTCACCGATGACCTTTGCTACGGAACGGGAGTCACATACTTGGCAGCCTTGTCGATAGGAGGAGCCTGGGGACTGCAAGAGGGTCTGAGGAGATCAGCCAACCAGCCGCCGAAGCTACGACTCAACTCAGTGCTTAACGCCGTCACCCGCCGTGGCCCCTTCCTGGGTAACTCCGCTGGTGTCGTCGCCATTACCTACAACTTTTTCAACGCGGGTATCGGTTACTTCAGGGGAAAGCACGACTCTGCCAACACGATCTTGGCTGGCGCTTTTAGTGGAATGGTTTTCAAGAGCACAAGGGGTGTGCGGCCCATGTTGATTTCCGGTGGTGTTGTGGCCTCCGTGGCCGGTGCCTGGGCTGTAAGTTGCCGCCTTCAGAAGTATATTGGCGTCGCATATCTAATCGTTTTCGCAGGTTGTCCGCAGTACTTTCTTCTCTGCCCCCGAGCCTGTTACTTCCGAGCATGCCACCTTGTAATTTACGACATAACCTGACGAATTGTCCCCGTTGAAACCCGCCAGTAATGATTATTCATTATGCCCATGGATCACGTTGGATCTGTGGACGATGATGCTCGCCATTGCGAGCTTCTTCTATCTGTTGTTTGAGTAAGGGAATTTAGAGCGCCTTAGAGGAGTCTTGGGCATTGTGACGGACGATCTCTCCTCAAGTGGACCCGTGTACAGTATTTAGGAAGGAGCATTAGAAGACCGCATCACTGGGTGGAAGTGGGCGTTCGGTATCTGTCAAAAAAGAACAACATTACACGTTCCTTCTACGTCCAAGTAACCTAGAGGGTTGTTGCCACATTGGACTGGCCTGCCAGCCTGATGACAGTGGAAGAGACGTCCTGAGCAGCATCTAACTAGTACAGGCTCTCCTCAGGCTGCCGATTGCCTTTCATCGTCACCCCATGCCGAAGGAGAACATAGGCATTGAGAGGCAGCAGGCTAAATATCATTTCTATCATGTCCACTTCACTTGAACTCGCGTGACAGCCTGGACGTGAAGTTATCCTTCACTATCAGTTACGGCCACGACCGCGGAAGATGAAGACATCCACAACTCGCGACAAGCTTGATCGATCTTGAGCTGAACAACATAAGAGCGAGAGCGAAGCATCTCGATCGCGCTACATGCGATATAGGGTCAATAGCAGTTCACGTCTACAACGATGTCGGTGGACAATACTTTCTCCCCTACGATACCTCGTCGCCACTGCCTAAAAAATAAGCTATCTCTCCGAATCTCTCAGCGTCCGAGACCACGGTCTCCAACGATTCGGTCGTTGTCGCGTGATGTGCTGGTGGCCTTCTACGGATTTTTGTCGCAGGAGATCGGCCAGACCGACGAGACCGACGATGCCTACGATCAAGCTCACAGCGATGATGGTGCTGAAGGTCTAAGTCCTTTAAGTGAACTCGATGGCCTTGGGAATGACAAGCTGGCATCGTATGCCTTCCTGAGGAAAGAATTTCAAAAACATCCGTAACTTTCGTTGCGAAAATACCGGCTGTCTTCCATTTTTTAGATTCAGGAAGTTTCCCGAGTAAACAATGTTTTGCTTGAGTACTTCCTCTCTGATCGACAGCGAGTCCTTTCGCGTCGTATTGATATACCTTGACAGGAATGGCGACTCGATCCTCCAGAAGTCGTCCTGGCCGGTGTGGACCGACTTCGAAGCTTTCATCGAAACAATATCTGTGTATCATCACGAGGCCACGCTCAAAAGGGGCGGTAGCGTGGAGAACATCAAGCAAACTTTCATACAAAAGGTTGATGACTTTATTCAATCAGAGCCGGAAATTTTCTTGGTCGAGGTAAGTCCAGCACATCGCGTTTCGGGTCGAAGACTTGCGATTGACCCTTCAATAGCTGTGGCAGCGCAAATTGATCAAGTAGCTGCCCCTAATCCTGCAGCTGGTTGGCCAGCCTTTGCTTGCGCCTCTAGCATCAATGTTCGCTGCATACGGCTTCTTTCCTCATGACATTGACAGGCTGTTGGAAGCTTCTATTGACGGAGATCTTAAAGACAATGATGGGCCCGAGGATTTCCGCTGATGAAGTTTGCGCGTTATTCTTGTTCGCTCGCCCCATGGTAGCTCAGCCACGTGTTGACGCGAGTATCGATTGTGCTTCAGAGTTGGATGTTCGTATGCCTTGGCCAGTTTGACACCTGCGTTTCGGTCTTTCTTATATTGCCATGAGGCTCGCGTGGATAAATAATGAACTGCGTTGCCGCATTGCATCTCCTATGTACCCGGTATCAATTGCAAAGACAATGCGGTCTTCTTTCAGTATCAAGGCATGCAAACGGCCAGATTCATCATCAGGAATTACCATCTCAAGCATCATCGGAGATCAAGGACCTAGAAACGGTCTCTAGAGCGGACCTGCCGCAATCAATTGTTGCTTCGGACCCCACTCCCGACTGACTTCGTCTTTCACTCCTACCACCACCGTCCTCGGACTCGAATCCTCAAGCAACATTATTGCAAACTATTCGAATCTTCCCAACTGCTCGTCTTCCAGGTACCGTCAAAATGTGCGGATTTTGGCCTTTCTCGAAGGCACACTACGACAACGAGGATCCGCCAATTGTCTATCGCCTTGGCTGGGATGGCCAGAGATACGCTGTAGATGTTGTAAGTAAATTGTCTCTTGAATACCTTTTGCTTTCTGTCCCCTTTCTTGGAATCCCAACAATTGCCGTTGTTTCCCTCCGTTTGCCTAGTAAGCCCGCGAGGATCTTGCAATGACCTACCCCCTTTTCTTGCCTTTCGGCCTCAGAGACAAAGAGCCGGCCAAGACATCACTGGAGCGGGTTATTGGTATACCAAAAGCTTCAAGCCGCAGTGATATCTCAAGCCGCAGTGGATCTTCATGCGGCTGGGTGAAGAGATCTGACCGAGTTCTCGCCTTGTACCGCTCTTCAGACCTCTTCTCCTTCACATCTCTTTGATCTACTTGATTTTCTACCAATTCACCCAAGACTGTGATGAGGTGAGCAGCCCCAGCTCATCAAAGCCCTCCATCGACAAAGAGGTCTGGTCTCCTGGCATTTGGTCTCTACCCCTGGATGTTCGAGTTTGATACACCAATCGAAACAAAAACGACCGCGATACTCTAGAAACAAGGATTCGGCGTCGAGTTCAATATACCTATAATCGAGTTCAGCAAATCCGCCATGAAGTCTCCCAAGAGCATGTCGGCTGCCAACATCACCGGCCCGCGGCAGGTGCGCTTCACGGAGGACCGCAGCAATCCAGGTGCCTCCTTCCCCGTTACCCAGGGAACCGACACCTCGACTGCTCCTGCCTTCAACACCCACGAAAGCGACGCAGGAGAAGACAGCGGCGTTTTCGTCCACACCTCAACCAATCCCTCTGCCTCAGTCAATCTTGGCCATCAGTTTCCTCCCACATCCTTCGGTCAGGCTGCTCACCCGCACCTCAACCCTTTCATACCCTCCACCCTGCACCCCGCCTACATCGCCGAGACCAACTCGTTCGCGCCTTTCGGTAAACACAACCCGTACGGACTTACCGCGCCTCCCTACATCAACATGGCCGACTACCAGAATGTCGCTCCGCCTGCTGGTGGCCTTCACTTCCAGCCGCCGGTTCCCGACACCACCTACGGCCCCATGCAGCACGTTTACGTGCCTCGCTTCGACAACGGAATGCCTCCGGTCTATCACGTCGGTCTCCCTCATGCTCAGGTTCTGCCAGTGGCTTCTTTTGTTGCCCCGAAGCCTACTCCAGTTCTGCTTGGCGCACCTCTTGTTGTTGTTCATTATTATGCAAGTCCCCAGCACACACACGCCACGATTGCGTCCTGAGCCGAGCGGCTTATGTGATTCATCGGGCATCTGGATTTCTTTGCTTCACCTGGCCGTCCCATTTTCATCTCACTAAGCTCACACAAGGTTTCGAGAAATGGTTTGCTGACTTGAGATTGTAGCAGCCTCCCACCAACAACGTCACCTACATTGGCCAGGCTCCCCCTCAGCCTCCCATCATCATGGCCCAGCAGCCTGCTATGCACGCGGGCATGAGTATGCACCCTCCGATCATGCTTCAGGCTCCTCCCGCCGGTTTCAGTGGCCCTCCCATGTTCCAGGGTGCCCACATGGGTATGAATATGCCTCCCAACATGGGTGGAGGTGGAATGCCCGTCTTCCCAGGTAATACCAATCTTCCTCCGGACGTCACTGGATATGGCAAGACCGCTGGAGAGGTCGCCATGGAACAGGCCCAGTTTGCCTATTCCAATGGCCTCTTCGAGCCCCAGGACTTCAAGCCTGCGGACGATGACCCATCCCGCTACTATCCCGTTCGAGAGGTTGACGGTAACTGGACCCAGCGCAATCGTTTCACTATTGACAACCTTGGCGATTGCCGTTGGTATGTCACCAACGAGGGCTACTTCTACGCCGTCCGTTTGCCCAACTGAAGTGTTCCTTCATCATAGGTATTTCACCTCAATTAGAAGGAAACAAGATGAATTGCTAACGTTTCAAGCAGCGTCAACCGGCAGCGAGATGATTTGGATGACCTTGGGGTGGATGATGAAACGGAGAAGATGTCCTTGTGAGTATGCGAAAAGGAATGAGAAGGCCCCCATGTCTGATCGTAGCAGATGAGTTGAACTTTCCGGCAACTTGCCCTTCAGACCCCTCTAATCCGTCATTGGTCCTCGGGCCGTCAGGTAAGGCATGCAATCTATGGCAAAGCTACAACAACTGACAAGATATTAGAACGCTCATTAGAGCAGGCAATATCTCTGCTTTAAGGAGTTGTTCACGTCATCTGCCCAAGGATAATACGGATACCAGACTGGGTTGAATGGGATGAAAGGGAGAGGAGGATAAAGTCAACGGTTTCCTATGTCGACAGGCCAGAGAATACTCTCGCCCAGGCCGCCAAAGTTGCGGTTAAGGTCGGGATTGGAGGCAGCTTTCGATACGTGGCTTGGATGTAAATCAACATGTCTCTTCCTAGGGTCATTTAACGATGGCTCGAAAGTGGCTGGATGCCTCATTCCGAACCTAGGTAGATTGCGAACCCCATAAAAGTGATGTCGAGACGTTACGTTTGCCTGATTATTTTGCATGCGTGAGAACTTAAAGCGATGCGTCTGAGCGGGCTAATGCAGCTGTCAAGAGGCCTATAAGGTATGATTGAGCGTCACAGGGAATTACTTCTCTGAATTTGAGATCATGATGTCCAAAGAGAATTGAACCCTTCCTTTTTGCCTACTTTTTTTTGCTACTCTTATTGAATGATTGACATGTGATTTGTTTTCAGAGTCCAGTAGCACTGGCTACCTAAGTTGGGTAATTTACTTTGGGCAGGTACAGAAGTCGGGCAGTTCCTTCCCAGGCGAGGTAGTCACTCTGACCTGGCTTTACCTACCTTCGTAGGGTCCACCTCCTTTTGCATCCAATGAACCCGCCAACGTAGAGATATCACCCCAATTCTGTGCTTTCCCTTCCTGAAAGTTCTCTTAAAACTACCTTGGTCAAAGGCAGATTCCGCAATATTCGTCGACGATCGAGCTGCATCCACAGTACAGAACCCCTCACTGAGAGCATCTCGGTAGTCAACCTCCACCATGACGCGTAACGCCCGCAGCTCTACCATCTGCGAGTGGGCTCTTGGCGTCAGTGTCGAGGAATACTGCAACTCTATTGAGAGGCGCAGACGCAAGAAGTCCAGCAGCAGACAGCGGATCTGCGTCGAGATTTCCACGGACGACGAATCCGAGGAGGATACTGTCAAGATCACATACCCGCGCGCCAATCGCAGCAAGGACTCTCCGGGATCCGGCTCCAAGAAGGTCCGTTTTGAGAAGGCCTCGCCGAAGCCAGCGCTGAAGGCTGTAGGTGCAGAAGCCGAGTCCAAAGGTGATACCAACTTCCACTGCGGGCACGATTATCGGAATTCCATCAGGAGAAGACAAAATTAACCACGGAGCAAGCAGACAAGAAGAAATCGGAGAAGACAGATGTTACATCCGAATCTGAATCGGAAGCTAAGTCGAAGAAGAAGAGAGGTGCTAAGGCCGCCAAGAAGAAGGTAGTGGATCCATCGTCCGAAAGTGAGACAGACGAGACTGAGGAGGAGATGCCGGCATCTCCCAAGAAGAAGACACAAGAAAAGACGAAGAATAGTGTCAAAAAGTCATCTAAGATCAAGGACAGCGTCACTTCAGCCGATACTGAGCCCAACAACGTCGGTCCTACAGTCAAGAAAGTCCGAAGCAGGAATGGAGGAGCGAAGACGAACGAGACCAAGAAGGTCGAAAAGCCTCAGAAAGTAATGCCCGAGGCGGCGTTATCTCCTCACCTACGCCGACCCAATCTCATTATGCCCATTCGCGCGGAGGTCATCCAAGTTGAGCATACCATTGAGGGCGTCGAAGATCCTCGACCCAACGCTTTCCACGACCCTCAGCACGGCGTTGTCCGAGTCTATCATGGACCAGCCTACGGTAATCCTTACGGCTTACTCTATCCTGCTCGCGACCCAAACAATGCTCCTTTGCCGATGGGCGTCCCCCATCCCCTGCAGAACCCCTATTTTTACGGCTTCGCCAATCCCTCAAACCCCGGAGACAACCACTTCAAGGGCCAGTCTCCCTGGGGCTCTATGCCCGTCACTTGTATGCCTGGAGGACCGCCAGTCATGCCAGCAGTCGATCCGATGCAGACGGGAATGCAGATGCCGCCGTGGTGGGGCCCCTTGTCTCCCAAAGTTCTCTCTCCAAAGGGATCTCCGAAGCATGTTATGTCGGGGGCCATTCCAGCAGACGCAGCATCGACGACAGGTGCCAAGAATAAGGAACAAGGATGGGATACCAACGTTGGTCCTCAACAAACCAAGGCTGCTTCACCTCTGGCAAAGGTAGCGAGTCCCAATAACGTGGCTCCTGCTTCTCCTATCAACATCAATTTGACGGTGAATCCAAATACACCATGGGCTGCATTTGCTAGCGACCTCAGCAAGAAGTCCACTCCGAACAAGAATGAATCACACAATGGAAGCAAAAATTCCTGGGGATCGAAGAAGAGCACAGACTGGCAGCCTCTGGGTAGTGGCCAGCATCCTGATCTTGCTTGGGGCAACACTCCCACAAAGAGCCAGGGAAGCAACAAGGGAAGCAACTCGGGCTGGACGAAAATAGGGGATGCGAACAATGATCCTTGGGGAGCGACTGGAGGCAGTGGAAGCAACAGTGGGTGGAACACCACGAACACTGCCCAGGCCAATGATGCTTGGGGAACATCCGGCAACACTCAGGGCAACGACGCCCAGACAACTTCTGGTGGCGACGGCTGGACGGCGACGAATGGTGCCACTTGGGACAATGCAGACAATACGAATAAGAATGGATGGGGAACCTCCAATGACCAGTCAGCCGATGCCTGGGCTAAGTCTGGAGGCGGCTACAGCAACAACTGGGGAACTGGATCGAACCATTCCAACTCGAAGAAGTCAAATCAAAGCCAAAATGGCAATGGAAGCAATCGAGGTACTAGCGGTCAAGCCAAGGCTGCTACGGACTGGGATGGCCAGGGAAACAATGTTGGCTACTCAGGATCGGAACGCAAAGTGTCAAACAACTCGAACAAGTCTAGCAAGTCGAAGAAGACTTCACCACCGCCGCCCTCAACCAATGCTGGCTGGGACAACAACGCTGGGCCTTCGACCAACAGTCCCGTCGGTAACTCGTCCAACAAGAGCAACGGAAATGAGAAGAGCTCAAGGAATGCGTCCAAGGGCGATGCGTGGGCGACTGCCAGCAACTCGGCCTGGACTACATACAACAACGCTGGCCCAACGACCAACAATAGCCCCCACAATTCCCACTCGTCGAAGAAGAGCTCGGGAAGCAAGAGGGAAAAGACTGATCAATGGGTTTCGGCTGGCGGCGGCGCCGGATGGGGCCCCGAAACCACGAGCGGCGAAGTCAACTATGGCCCGACGGCGACCGAGATGAGTAAGACTTCGAGCAGCAGCAAGAGTATGCCAGGCGCCTGGGATACCAACGTCCCTCCTTGGGGAGATCCGACTTTGGCGCAATCGACAGGCGGTGCGGCAGACCAATGGTAGAGGTGGTTATGGCGAAGCCGAGCTCAGGGTGAGCTCTTGAATCATATCGCAGCAAGAGAAGCGAAAGGGAAATCGGCTGGCGGGAGGTATTTGACAGCAGCTGGTAGATTCTTTTGGAACCGAGAGATCTCGGTGATCTGCATCTTTTGGGGCGTTTTCCCCAACAAGGAGGTTGTGGACTTTGGCGAATGCATTATTTGGCAATGACTTGGGAGGGGGCTGGGGTCGCGGGTTGAAGAGACATTGAGTTTTACGAGCCTAGACTGTTTTACCCGCACGGGAGGCGCGCGGGACGTTGCAGCTTTCCACCTGAGTTCTACATTAGCTGAAGGGTAAACAGCTTGGCACCGGAATTTGACATAGATAGATCAAGAAACATTGAAACAAAGGCGCCGGTCAAAGAGTGAGAGTGGATAATTCGCCAATGGCTGCAGTCTACAAGATGTGTGCTACCTAAGTACCGACATCCCGTCCACCGACAAGAGATGTTCCAGGTTAAGGGAAACGCTCAGTCGCCGAATGGAGATGGGAATCGAGGGGAAAGAAAACGAGCGGACTGTTCTGGCGATGCTGCCCAGAAAAGATGTGCGAATCAAAGTCAATGTTGGGCACGAAAAGTCATTGACACCGAAATGCCAATAACGTCTCCCAACTTGTCCGTCAGATACGCATTTACTCTTCCTCCTCGCTCGACTCCTCCTCCGAGGCCTCCTCAAGCCACTTGATGAAGGGCTCGGCGGCCTTGCGGACCTTCTTGGAGTTGGCCAGGTCGGTGTACTTCTTGCTGGCCTTGGTACCCCACTTGACGGCGACCTCCTCGCTGAGGAGATCGTGGTTGTAGTACAACTGGAGGATCTTGACAACCTTGTCAAAGATGTCGGAGTGCTCCTTGGCGAGCTGGCCGATGAGGCGCTCGGTACCACCGAGGAGGGCCTTCTCGTGGCGCTCAGAGGTAACAAACTAGTGGACACAATTAGTAAAGGGGCCATACTTCGTTGGTCCGAACAATGTGAACATACCTGCTTCATCATGCCGGCGCGCTTGGGAATCTGGGCGAGAATGTTCTCGTCGAAGATGGTCTGAACCAGAACCAAGACGGAACGGTGCTTGGTCTCGATACCAAGCTCCTTGGCCTTGACAAAGATGTCAATCGAGTCGACCTTGTCGACACTGCCCTTAGCAGTGGCCTCATCCTGGATCCAGGTGCCAAACTCGTCGTAGACGGTGCTGCCGGAGGCCTCGCCATCCTCGTCTTCGTCGTCGCCCATGTTGAGCTTCTGCTTGAACTCGCCGGGGAGCTGAGCCTGACGGGCCTTGACGGCCTCCTCGCTCATGTCGACGGCCCACTCGTGCTCCTGGGTCTCAAACTGGTCAATCTCGGGAGCCTCCTTCTTCATCTTCTCCAACTCGTCATCACTACCAACATCCTGGTCGTCGGCGTCGTTGGAGCCGTTGTCGGATCCTTCTCCGCCGCTTCCGCTTCCCTGTCCGTTCTCCTTGGTACCGTTGGCCTTCGCGCGGCGGGCAGCCTTGCGCTCGGCCTTGTCCTTCTTGCCCTTCTTCGGCTGGTTCTTCAGAATGTAACCGCTAAGCTTCAGACGAAGGTCGACCTCGGAACGCTGACCGCAGGCCTTGCAGTCGAGGAGGATGCGACCGTCCTTGATGTTGACGTCGGTCTCGGGGTTCTTGCACTTCTTGCAGAGAACGAAACGGTTGATGAAGCCATCGAGGTGGTCTTGCAGCTTAGCGGCGTTGTGGGAACCGTTGATAATCCAGCGGTCGTCGGCGGGGTCAACGTTGGTCTGGGCACCGAGCTCGAAGCCGAAGTACTTGATGACATAGGCACCGGGACGGGCGAGAGACTGAGCGACGCTGCTCAAGTTGACGACAACGGTCTTGATACCGTTGCCCTTGCCCTCGATCTTGGTGACGATCTTTTCCATCTTGTAGCGATAGAAAGCGTCCTTGACGTCGCGACGAACGTTGATGAGGGAAGCCATGATTGCGGTATTGGTAGTAGGTGGACTGAAGAGGAGTCTTGGAAGAGTATTTTTGGTTTAGGAGGATTGATTGGATCTGGGGTTAAAAGGCTCGGGATGCGAAGCTGGTAGTGCTGTCGTTTGGACGGGCGGGTAGCATGAAGAAGCCGGAGGTCGTGATAGTATAGGATCGACTGATTGGCGAGGAAGCTGGTAGGGGAGCAAGAAGGCGGACTCAATGCTCAAGGGTTCTTTTGATGAACATAGGGTAAAGCGAGACTAGATCGTCTTTGCTGTCGAGAATTCATGAACTCCTCTGGGTTCGGAGATTTCAGCCAACGGAACTGATGTTGGGGCTACAAGGTTTCGCTATGCGAAATGATTGCAGCTTGGGGACGAAGTGTCTGAAGACGGTGGTATTGTCGTGCTGATACATAAACTGCTATGTGGCTTGTACCGCGTGAGGGTGGTGTTGTATGTTCAACTCTCGCGGAAGAAGACTCGGTGGTCGGGAACACGGCGAGAGAGGATGCTACTGGCGATTGTTGACGATACTGTGGTTGTTTATGGCGGGGTGTTGGGTGGTGGTGTGGAAAGTGGCGACGTTCTCAAGAGAGAGGGGTGGAGGAAGGAAGAGGTTTTGTACGCTTGGAAGATTTTACCGCGGAGGACGCGAAGATGCAGAGATGCCTAAGCAGGGCGGTGAACTGCGATTGCGAAAAGGTGGGTTTAAGATAATTGCGAGATGTGCTCGAATGGATCTCCGAGCGGAGGGTTTTGTGCGTTTTTTTTCTTGTGGGTGGTGGGAAGAGGAGAAAACGGAGATGACTGGGCAGTGAGCGCAGAGTTTTGGAAAAGGCTGAGGTGGAGTCGGAGGGTGGTGGTGGTGGTGGTAGTACGGAGTAGTGGTGGCGGCGGCAGGACAGGAAGTTCGGAAACACATGAAAAGTACCAGAAAGAACTGCCTAGAAATAAAAATAAAAATCCCTAGGAATAATAAAGTGGACCTCCCTTAGAGCACTTGCCTACGAGTTCATTGCCTCCTCAGCACCTCATTCACTAAGGTAAGGCGCCCCCCCCAAAGAACACTCAAGGTTTGAGCGCTGGGGGCGGCGGGAAGTCTGGCGGGCTGGCAGCATGGCACGTTGGCTGGCCCTTGCCTTGTGCCTGTCAGAGTTGCGCCACCACTCAAAGAACCCCCTGGAGCCGTTCTGTCAGACATGGACCTCAGAACAACCAGCGAGCCTTAAATCCGAGTTTGAAGTCGTCGTTCGCTCGTTCACCTGCCCCCGCGGCGCCACCGGACCAGTCCAGTGTCCAGGATGCAACACGCAGCTGGGAAGCCAGTTCCACTTGCTGCCTTGCATGTTTCCTGCCCTTTCTTTGAACTTTGGCCTCAATTTTCCTTGTTGCTATGCTTTGTGTCGTCCCACATCATGGCACCTACGTAGTAAAGTACCTTAGACATTTGGATATTACAAGGCATCGAGACACGATATCGACCCTAATTATCTTGCCTTCTCTCCCTCTCTCTGTGCTCTTTCCATCCTCAAGTGTGTTTCACACCCGTTTGTTTCTCTCATGATTATTTCAACACCTCCTGCCTTCATCAGGCAATACCTACTTGAGACAGCAAAGGGGTGGGAAAGCCTGGAAGCCTGGCGCCGTTTCCTGGCTCCATTGGCATTTGAAAGGGGGAAACCCGCGACAGCTCCGCGCCGGGCACGGACCAATCAACGGTATTTCCCGCTTTTCGAGAAAGCGCACTTCGCACCGCAATTGTGCGGGAAAGGTCAAGGAAGCTTTCCAAAGGATCCGGGGCAGGCTGGGCAGCACGCAGCAGAGGGACGGACAACGTAAAACTAAAAATAAGCGACAAAAGAGAATAGGTACCTAGCGGAGTGGGCACACCAAACATGGGGATCAGGAATTCCCGTTTCGCCATCAGGTGGATCCAGTCTCTGCAGCATGCAGCCTACTGTTCGCCATTGCTTTTGCTCGCTCGCCTCGCCTAACACCGGCTCACAAAGCCGAGCCAGTCATTGCCATGCAAGTCATCACTCGACTTGCAGATTGCCTTGGCCAAGCAAGCTACGAATGGATGTATTCAAAAAGCAGGGCAGTTGACAGCGGAAAGCCTGGCTTGTCCACGTACGCAGTAAAACGTGTGTGGTCCCAGTGAACTCCCAAGCAAGGCCACACATGGACGCCGCACAACGATGTACATTCATGAATCACCACGAAATCTTTTTTGGCACGATGTGACTTGGTATTGGCCCTCCAGGTCTCTAGGGACCATGCCTATCCAACCACATTTGCCAAGCTGTCTCGTTTATCGAGGCACGTTGTTTTTTACTGATTCAGCATTCCTGCCCCAGACCCCAGATGCCACAAACGCTACCTACCCGTGCTCCAGTACCGGAATGATCAAACACTCACAGAAACGCCCAGACGCGATATGCCAACAATGACATCCATACACTTCGCGCCAAATGCAACACACACTATGCAACCTTTGGAATCTCCCCGTTCCTCCTATCGAACACCCCATCATTCCCGCTTCTCGCCAACGGGAACAAACTGCAGCAAACAGTTTTGTCCTAGGGGTCGCGAGGAGATGAGCTGGTCCGACATGGCCATTGACTCCTCCGTCATTGACGTCTCAGGAAGCGTCGTGTAACGGGTGTAAATATCCGTCAACAGAGTCTTCATCTCGGCGAGCGCCAGACTTGGTGGTGCCTTGTTAACAGACGGTATCTCACCATGGATGGATTATGGGGGTTACTCACTGCTTGCCAACACATCCCCGGCCTCCGTTGGCAAACGCAAACATGAGCCGCTTCCTCTCAGCGTCACCCGTTGGCTCCATCCACCGATCAGGGTTGAACAAGTCTGGCTCCGGGAACACTTCCTCGTTGATGCGGTGAATAGAATACGCCTGGCAGCTGACTGTAGTCTTCTCTGGGATGGCATACCCGTCAATCACCCGCCCGCCACGGGGAACATAACGCGGCAGGGACATCGGGATAGCTGGGAAGCACCGCAACCCTTCCTGCACAATGGCGTCGAGGAACGGCAACTTGTCGAACGCGACTCCCGGGTTCTCTCTCAGCTCGCGGCGGAGCGTCTCCTGGAAACGTAGGGACCGCGGCTGCGAGAGCTCCCACATGAGGAAGCACAGCCCGTCGCCCGTCGTGTCGATGCCTGCCGCCATGTGGTCGAGGCACTCGCCCGCCATGTCGAGCTGGTCCAGTCCCTGGCCGGCCTTGTCGTGGAGCCGGCTCAGGAGCGTGAAGGCCGCCGGGTCTGGCTTTTTGCTGGACTCGATGACAAAGGTGTCGGCGAGGGGCGTCTCGCGGGGCTTTGCGAAGAAGTACAGGAACCGAGAGAGGAGCTTGTGCAGCGCGGGACTATAGTGCTGAACAAGGCGGTCTGTGTTATCGTCAGTCTACCTGGGGCACCCTCACCAGGCATGTTGAGCTGTGTACTCACTTTGAAGGCTGTCATCAGCAGCAACCTGGTGCATCATTTCCTCGTCCGCCTCGTTCTCCAGGCAGTTACTGCCGTACGGATGGAACAGGTGGTGTGTGACGCAATCACAGGCGTATGAGTGAAGACTCATCTGCAAACGCAGTCAGGCAATCGTCCAGAGAGTTGGAGCGAGGTCTACGTACGAATATGTCGTGGCTCTTGCCGACGGACTTCTCGCACAAGTTGATAAACTTTTGCGACCTCTCCTGGATTCCGCCGAGAGGTACAGGCCGCAGGACGTTGCTGTTTGCGTAGCGGTCCGCAATGATTCTCTTGCGCTTCGCATGCTAGAACATATGTCGTAAGTTGTTATTCTACCCTAGACTGAAGTCTCATTCGGGGGGCCTTACATCTTCCTTATTCAACGTTGTGAACATAGTCCTAGCACTGTAAGCTTCCTGCTGTCCATATTCAAATCCGAGTACCCTTTCATACCTTCGTCCATAGACTTTAAACAAGTCATAAAACTCCGTCTTGTCATAACCGCTGCCTCCAGAGCAGTAAATCTCCTTGACGGCTTCGTACGATGTAAACGAGACCTCGTTTGGTGCGATTCGGACGACTGGGCCATATTGCTGGTGGAGCGCATGGATGTGCTTCGTCCTGGTTGCTTGTAGTTCATGCCATTTCAGAAGGAGGGAAGTGAAGGCGGATATCCTCGGGCCGGGAACTTTCCACAACGGGTCAAGGACGCAGCGAATGAGATACGCTAAAGCGAGGACAGAAAATGCTGCTACCAAGAAGACGGGAGAAAGGAGTAACATGTCGCAGGCCTTTCACTACTACACCATGATACGTATGCAGTTGCTCTGAAAAGTGACAAAATGAGTTAAAGATTCGGGACGTGAGGTAGGTATCTCGAATCATGAGCGACGCGGGTTCCTCTTATCAGCTCCGTTCCGGGCCCCAATAGCGTTGGTCAATCAGAGGGTTTCGATTCGTAAATAACCACCTAGGCAGTCAAGCGCCGGCGCCGATAGGGTGCTTTGGCCCGAGAACGGGGCGGTCTGGCAAGCATAACCCACTGAGGGACCCCAAATGAGACGTGAGGGGCAGGACGTCAACACCGATTACCCCTCCATACTTCGACAGACGGTGATGAAAGGCTCGATAAGGATGCGTCGGGAAAGACTTCATATTCTCGTGAAGGAGGGACTTGATACGGTATCAGATATTTGATTTCAACTCATGTTTTTCTACGCCATCACCGCCGCCGCTCAACATCATCTCGTGAGATGCACCACCCTCAACGCCTCGCCAATTATCACCTCGTACTAATACACCCGGTTCAAACCCGCCCACCAACTAACCCTCGATCAAGACTCAAAAAAGTGCAGGTTACCACCCTATCTCTCACAGTTCTCCCTTAGTGCCCTGCTTCGACTTGTCATTCGAATTGCCCCCGAACAAGCCGGTCAACCAAGACATACCGGGAATCGACACAGTGCCTGCCGGGGGATACTCCTTGCCGTTGACGGTGACCTTGGGCGTGCAGGTGCACCACTGGTCCTCGGGGACGCTGCTCAGCGCCGACGGGATGTGTTGGCCGCAGCCGCGCCAGGTTGCCTTTGCTATTGGATACTTTTAGTTTCCATGATTCTACGAGGTATGTCACGAGACTGGGGTGGTCGTCTTACAGCAAGTCGAGCAGGTGACTCCGAAGCACATTTTGGATGAAAGTAAAGGTGTTGGTGAAAGGGAGATGTCGGTGCGGGTATCAAGGTCAAAGAGTCGACAGTAAGTTGTGTACGGGTTGATCCGAACGAAGCTTGAAGTCAAGATGGTGTTTTGAGATAGTCTTTTCGGAGGTTGGCCAATGTGATAAGGGCTGGTCTAGCTACGAGCTCACCTGGGATTAAGTATTCGCGGTGTCCGTGATAGCATAATCCACCCACTTGGGGTCGGCGACCTGCATTGAGCATCGTCACGGGCGCAGTGACCCCGATGAAGTGGGTCTCGGAGGGGTATCGCCGACCTCGCTCCCTATTCCGGGGAAGTGGGGTGCTGTCAATGGAACTCGGGCTTGCTCACATAATGCACTTTGGAAGCTTCTGACCGAGCTGAGACCGGTATTGCTTTAGTCACCTCGTGTAACACGTTCGATCCCATCTCGGGAATGTTGCTTATTAGGTGTATTTGACTATCAGTGAAGACAAATATCCCCCCTCAACTAAGGTAAGGCATGCTGGGGTTCATGCGGTCCGTCCCGAGTCTGACTTCATACTTGCTAGATGAACTGAGCCACACGTTCTGCAAGCCACTGCTGGGATTCCGGGTTCTTCACAGTGTGGCTCGCTCCGGGGATCAAGCCAGACAGCTCGTGGACATTGAAGTTTGTCTTCTTCCACAGGTCTATCAAAGCTTGCTTGTCGATTTTGGCTGGCACGAACTCATCCTCTGCAGAGTGCAGCACCATGACGGGCTGCTGGAAACGATTCCAGACCTCGGAGACGAACGAATCTTTGAGGTCGGAGGAGAAGTAATCATCGTCGCCCCTGTGATGAATATCAGTATTCCATTCACCTCATCCCGGAGATCGAGTATCATAGCTACGTACCCCTTAGCCGCCAGAGAGTGCCAACGGTAGGCCGTCATGGGTGTCGAGAAAAAGCTTGGCACTAGATCTTTGGGCATCGCTTCGGCCTCTTTTCCAGCGGAAATCAGCTCCTCTGCGTGCTCTAGGCTCTTCTTCAACCAGTCAGGTTTGACAAAGTCCTCAATAGACTCCCGGTCAGATGCAGGACCTTGCATGATGAAGCCATCGACAGGGTCCTCCTTGTGCTTGGTATACTCCATACAGTCCTACCTAGGTTAGACGGGTCCTGTAAATGTTCAAGGCTACTATAGCGGCATACCTGGCATCCAGTTGAGTGGCCCATAAGGACAATTTTTTTCTTTCCGATGCCTCGGAGATACCTCACTAGAGCCGAGATATCCTCAACATCGTTCTTTAAGCTCGAAAAGCCGTAGCCAGAAAAGGAGCTCCTCATCCGAATCTCAAACACAGACCAGTCTTGTGCCGCTGTCTCAAGATGCTTGGCTATGGCCTTGGTGTAGCCAACAGTATGAGGTCCATCTGCGAGACCTCCTATGAAGAGAAGGGCGTTTGATGCTCCAGTTGGGCCGATTTCATAAGCGCTAGAGTGAGAGGTTCGGGAATCAAAAGGATGCACCGTGCAAGAGAAAGGAGCCGGGGCCATGGCGAGCTACTGAGGCCCTTGCGGACAAAGAAAGGCTGTTCGTCAAGCTTCGGTCGTAGTTTCTAGCGGAAAGGTCCTCTCGTGACTGCTGATCAGAGATTCAGAGGGTCTTGCGATGTAGTTGCTTCCTCACAAGAATTAATGAAATTGACGTAACCTAGTAGAGGGGAAGCGCTCTGGTGGGGGCTGCTCTGATGTGCTGCTGCGGGGCTGCCAGCTTCCCTTTTAGCGAGCCAAAAATCACGAAAGGCCCTGAACAACCGGCCGTCAGTGGGGCTCATCACCAAGGGACGTTGAAAGGAAGCCACCCGATTGGGCCTACTTTAGGAAGGTATGTGCTCCGTACCGCCAATCTTTCTCAGGATGGTCATCTCAGGCAGGCGTTTCCTCAGTCAAAGTTGGGTTGCGAAAATGAACGACAGAGCTTCCATCTTCAACTACCAGTAAACACGCGAATCCTCACCACTTTCCCCTTAATATCACGCCAGTCATATCCTCGAAAGCCGCGATCATAGGCTTTTCTAGATCAGATACATCTCCACCGTTAAGTTACGCGCCCCCGGAGGCTGGCGTGAAACCCCTGCCCTCTGCCTCGTAATGGCGACGGCTCCCGCCAATGCAAACCCAGCCCGGAATGAGTTCTTTCAGCAGGTTTGTATACCTTGACACGTATAGATCATATGCTGACCGATTCAATCAGCTCAAACCATGCTGTGTCTCAATCAGTCAGCTAGCAATCCGACAACAAGGAGATGCGTCTTCCTTCAAACGACTCTCTGAGTTGACTGACGAGTTGTACCACATTCTCAACGACCAAGTTAATAGAGACGCCACCGTTCTGGATTCAAAGCTTGCAGACTACGTCTTTTTCCCACTCTCTCATATCTTCCGCAGTCACGATCAGTACCCCAAGCGCCTAATCGAGCTCGCCATCAAGTGCCTTACCGTGATCATTATTCACGGTTGGAAGTCCAACATCTCGCCCCAGATCTTGCAGCAGCTCCTGATACTTCTTACTTTCATCGTTGGAGGAGTACCTGGCCGAGAGAGAGAACACGACGTGCCCGAGGAAACCGAGCTTGAATCACTTGGAGCATTGACCGCGTTGATTACTGTGGCTGGAACATCCAGCACAGCAGCAACAGCTCTGACCGAGGAGAAATTAGTACCAACTCTGGGCCATACCATCACGGTAATTCTGGGATGTGTAGCGGATGGAAGAACGTCAGCTATTCAGCTCGAAGCTCTGCGTATCCTGAACTGCTTCTACACGAGCATCAAGGATCATGCCGCACTTGCGTCGTTCATTCCTGGCCTAGTCTCTAGCCTGACAAAACTGCTTTCCAAGCCCCAGGGAGAGAAGACGCGCGTCTTGGTCGGTTCCATACAGTCGTTGGGACTGGTGCTAGTAAAAGTTCTTGGTGATGTCAGGACCCGGAGCATCACCGCAAGACTGAACTCAGATACTTCACCGGAGACCGAACAAAGGGGTGTACTGAGCCCATCATGGCTCAACGCGACAAAATCACAGATCAAGCTGGCTTTGGCAACAGTCTTGAAACTCCGAACAAGCGATAATACAGACGTACGCGAGGCGCTGCTGGCATTCTGTCTTGGACTTCTCGACGAATGTCACACCTCACTGGAAAATTGCTCCTCCGTACTGGTGGAGACAGCCATGGTCATCTCACCAACACATCCAACGACATCTTTGACCGGTACAAGTCTGCAAGACTTGGCCATCATATATCCTGAACTTGGCGAGACCGTGAAGGTCACTTGTTACAATTGGATCACCAGCTTGCCCAGGATCATGCAGTCTGCCGACGAAAGCAAGAAACAGGCCGCCGTCCAGAATTTGATGAAGGGCATGGCTCTTGTCAGTAGCCTTCAGTTGGATTCTTCACTATTGGACGAGTCAATAGCGGCGGCTCTAAGGGACAGTGTCACATCTCTCATAATCGGAGCGAAGCCTAGCAAGATCCTGGATGAAACAACGCCGGACGCCTCATGGTACAACCAAGATATTGTGAGAATAGGAGATACCCCAAAAAAATATTCAAATGTGCTGTTGGGTGAGGAGAGTCAGGTTGGAACAAGGTCAGCTATGATTGACTTGCTTTCCAACGTTGGGCCCGCCTCGCAGCAGAACAGGCTTGCTGCCGAAATGCTGGATCACGCCAGGGACTCGTCAGGCGATTCTCAGATAGCCTCTTTCTGGCTGAGCTTTGAACTCCTCAAGACTGCCTTTTCTCGTTCCAACGAGCTCGACGATCTCCTCGACTTCTCTTCACTGGGCTCTGGAGGCGAGGATTCCGAATCTATCTTCCAGGAATTGTATGCATTCGCCGTGGTTTTGCTCGACTCACACTCTGAACTGGCTGAGATCGACTGGAGGCTAGAGGCCACAGCACTTGAAGTAACCGCCTTCGCAGCATCTCGATCAGGCGAAGCCTTCAGACCAGAACTCATTGACGTGCTATATCCTACAACAGCCTTCCTTGGCTCTGCGAACTCACAACTAAGAGAGCATGCAATCACGACCTTGAACGTTCTTGCTGTATCGTGTGGGTACACGAGCGTCTCCGAACTGATCATCGAGAACGTCGATTATATGATCAACTCGGTTTCGCTGCGGCTCAACACGTTCGATATATCGCCGGCATCCACGAAGGTGTTGGTGATGATCACTCGCCTGACCGGGTCGCGACTGCTGCCGTACCTCGACGACGTTGTGGCCTCCATTTTCGCAGCCTTAGACAACTACCATGGGTACCCCGTATTTGTTGAAAGTCTGTTCGCAGTGCTCAAGGAGGTTGTAGAACAAGGCGTGAAGTCTGATAGACTTCTCCTGGAGGGCCGACAAAATGGACCAGAGAGTCACAAGAAGGCTGCCGGCAGTCATGTCACAATTGACGACATTGTCGATTTATTGAAGAGACGACGGGAAAGAGAGGCTGAAGCCTCGATCGACGATGTGACCGACACGATTAACAACAATCATCCTCAAAAGCCTTGGGGCGCGCAGGACCAAAAACCCAAAGACGGCGGGGAGGAAGGAACTGACGAGGACGCTGCAAACAACGAAGTTGAAAAGGAGAAACCACCCAAGACACCAACGTATACCCTACTGGAGAAGATCGCCGGCTTGACACAACACTACCTTACTTCACCCAGCCCTACGCTGCGAAAGTCGTTGCTCGACCTGCTGGCAACCGTATCTCCAGCTCTTTCAGGCGACGAAGACTCATTTTTGCCGCTGATCAATGCTGTATGGCCGGTGGTGATCACCCGAGTCTACGACGAGGAGGCGTTTGTGACCATTTCAGCCTGCGATGCCCTCTGTGCGCTGTCCGCCACCGCCGGAGACTTTCTAGCCTCCAGAATCAACACAGAGTGGTGGGACGGGCTGGGAAAGTGGTGTCGAAAGAAAAAGCTAGAGGCTATCCAGTCTCGAGGCAAGGGAAGTACGCACCGAGAGAGTACTTGGCCAGGCCAGACCGCCGGGACTACGAGTCAGGGAATCGTCATTCCCGTCATGACAGGAAGCGATCGGCTAAGCTATCAATCTGCAGAGATAACGAAAGGCCCGGTATCAGGCGGCTTGGGCAAATTCGCTCAAT